CTAATTAAAATGATATTTTTTAATTGAAATCAAACTTTTTAACAAAGATGAAAGATGTGACTGAAATTGAACTTGTTTTATTTAATTTTGGAAGGCGCACAGACGCACGGAAAAAATGACATATAACCCAAATTTTGATTTTGGGACTATTTACATCTATAGAGATGTAGATGCATCTGTTTAATAAGGACCATACCCTTCATTTTCTTCAAATCATTCCAGGGATGTATTGCTTTCACGTTTTTGAAAAACGACGAAGAAAAAGCGAAAAACTAACGAAAAGGACTCTTTGAAAAAACTCGTCGTTTTGTTGATGAAAGTAGGTCGTTTTTAATTTGTGACGATCGTTAACGATGAATATTCGTTAAAAATCGTTAATTGGAAAATCCTTAGATCGGAAATCCATTACGTTAGAAAAATTCCAGTTATTGCTCTCGATAAAAAAAAAACATTTACGACAACATTCATAATCTTTTCATCATGAAAAAAATATATTAATTTTCCTAAAACTCTGATTCAATAGCGAAAGTTTTTTCAAAAACTTTTGTTGAATTCATACCATAAACATTTTTTACCAAATCGCTTCACTTTTTTGAAAAAAAATTATCATTTCGTTAACGACGTAGAAAACGCGAATGTTCTTTTGTTTTGAAAAACATAAAATAAAACAATTTTAAAAACGTTTATTAACGATTAACTGAGACGGCTACTGTCTCGGTTAATATATAAAGTATTCACTAAAATATCATAGCATTAACGTCAGAGGAATAAAAGAGAAACCTTGGTTAGTTTAACGCAAACCTTCGAGGGAGAGAAAATTCAGAAATAAATTTTCTTTAGCTTCAGATCTAACAGAGACAGTTACTTCTTTCTTTTTTTAAAGTGCAACACAAACAGAGAATTGAATAAGGTCAAAGTCGTCAAAGTGACTTTGATATTGTGCACCACAAGTTTATATGGTACAAAATCAACAGTCGGACCAGTACAAAACTACCAATAAGCGTTGATTCAGTACAATTTACCAACAGCTGGAACAATACAGAACGACCAGTAATAGTTGATACACATACAGTACAGTACCAACAGCCGGACCAGTACAAAACTACCAGCAAGCGTTCATACGGTACAATACCAACAGCCGGACCAGTACTGAACTACCAGCAAGCGTTGATACAGTACAAAAGAAAACCAACAACCGGGCGAATACAGCGTTTCCAGTACGGTACAAATTCCTAGCCCGTCATGACAAACAACACAAGATCTTGCCATCAACCATTTGAATTCCATTTGGACTACGCCAATAATATTCCAATATTTCTCTACTGCTTGGGATGTTTGGGATTTGGATCTTTGTTCGGCTACTTGCTCTGGAGGCACAAGCAGAGCAGAGCACACCTGGTAAGAAACTTCATCATGCTGATCAACGAGGACATCTTCTACTTCTACTTGGCAATGCTGTTTCCTGGCGTAAGTGTTTTTATCTGCCAATTTGGAGTTGTGCAGCTTTGGCCAAATGCCATTTTTCAAAATTTTATACATAAAATATGTAAAGCAAAAACAGAAAAAACTCCAAAAATGAACTGGAAACAGGTTTACTGATATCTATCGTACCATCGTTTTGTATGTGTGCACGTAAGCCCACAACCCTAAATTAAAATAAAAATATTACAATTTGTAAAGATATATAACAAATTTCGCGTTTTTGCAGAACAATATAGACAGGATTTTTTTTTTGGTCGGACTTACAATTTTTTTTTATTCACAACAATTGCCAGCATCTACGTGCATTCTACTTGCATTATAGAATCTGGTTTACATTTCCAAATTCAAAAATATGATATTTAAAAAAGTTTCTTTATCAAATTTAGCAACAAATTAGGGAATAATCCACAGACTGAAAATTCCTTTATAATTTACCAGATTTTGAAGGAACAATTAAAGAATTGTTATCCTTTAAGAACAATTCTAAACGTTCTTTTAATATTTCTTTGTTAAGCAAAAAACTCCAATTTTATCGTTTGTAAATTTTAAAGAACGAAACAGAACCCAAACTTGATCTGAAATTTTCCAAAAAATAATAGCATTTTCCCTCTATTTAGGTAGCCATTGGAAGCTGGAGAACAATGGTGTCCCCCCTACCCGTGTATCTCTGTAGCCTAACTAGATACTGTTATGTTTACTGCTTCTTCTGCATTTGTTCTCTCTACCAAGCGGTTTCTATTTTTAAACTCTGTCTCTTAGTTCAGGTTGGAAAAAAAATTGAGTCTTTTGCCACAAACTCAAATTTTATAATCCCTGTATCTTTGCAACCTGATATTTCAAACTTTATAGATTTTTTTAATTTAACAGAATTCAAAGTTTGAAATATGTAAGGTCTATGATATTAGTTTGCAAAGATATAGGGATTAGAAAAATAAGAGTTAATGGCAAGGACTCAATTCCTTCACAAAAAAAAGATCGTTTAAAAATTGGAAGAAAATGACGGAATAAAGTATAAAATGGATTTGTATATTTGTTGAAAATGCGTCCGATCATATCCCAATAAAAGTACTCAGAACTTTATAATCTTTAAATGATTTGAAGTTGAAAAAGCAGTATCTTCTTGTTTTTGGATCTTCTACAATATTTTTAAGAGAATGCCCTTCAAAGTTATTTTTATTTTTATTCACTTAATTGAAAAACTTTTTTTGGATAAATTAAATTCTAGATACTGCTAATGATGGCAATTTGCATTCTCCTAAAGGGACTATAAGCGTAATTTCAAGTGACCCATCAGGAAAAGATTTGCAAAGGTACCCTTGAAACCTTTATCTTATCAAAAATAGGGAAGAAAACGTTAAATTTCTGAGAAGAAAAATGTTTATTTTTGTAAGTTTTTCGATTTTTTCGTATAAGCAAGAAATGCGCAAGTCACTTTTGCATGAAACCATGTATAAAAATAAACAGTTTCAACAAACAAGATCATGCATATTCAATTCATAAATGATCAGACAAACTTTAAGGTACCATTGTGAATCGGCCATTGCCATCTTTAATGGAGAATTTCTTGAAATTGCTCTTACAGTCCCTTTAGACCATTATCTTTTAAAGTTTTGCTTGTTAAGTATGAGAGGATGATGGAGTATGACCAGGAAAAACTGAAAAGGGTTTGCTACGCAGTAGTAACCATAGCTGGGGGACTTATCTACTCAGCTTTCTACTTAGCAAACATTTCCAGAGGTCATTTTTTAATAATGCTCAATACCTCTTCACTAAAAATATCAACATCAAAGAAATTGTTTCTTTGCCACAAACTCTGATTATTGTTCTCTATATCTTTTCAACCCGATGCCGAAGATCTTTGGTATTTTAATCTATGAATTCTGTAAGGTCAAATAGTCACAGTTTGAAATATCAAAGGTGCATGCACTATCTGGTTGCAAAAATGTATTGATTTAAAAATTTGAATTTGTGGCAAAGACTGAATTCCTTAACTTTAATTGACATTACTTGTCCTCCATATCAAACTCCATCTGCATTAGGTGTATTTCACCAGCCAGAGGCATACTTTGCAGCATGTACCGCCGAGGGGTTGGACTACGTGATACCTTTCAACATATTTGTATTCCTACTTCACCTTCTGGTATTTCTGATCTCAAACTTGATTGTGCGCTGCTACGCTAGTCAAGAAGAGGGATGCCCCTTCTCATGGATTCAGTATATCCAATGCTCTATTAGTAAAACTGTTACTATAGGAGCATTTGCAACCACAGGATTTATCTGTCTAATTCTTGTTATAATGACGATGCCATCTATGGAGTCGAATGGTGGTATCAGCCTCTACTTTGCTATTGGGGCACCACTGGCAGGAGTTCTAATGCATGTTCTGAAAGAGTATGAGTTCACTTACCCGTGCCTGATGGCGTTGCTTTCTGAAATAAAAGGATTCTTCTGTTGCAAACAAAATCAAGTTCATCCAATCCAAGATTCTCTAAATCCTCAACTCCCGTTCGTAATTAATGTTCAGCCAATCAATCCTCTAGAGGATGATGGTGGAATCTTTGTTGGATAACTCATCCACAATCTAGAACCTTAAGGTATCTTGTATTTGTGGAATTCCGTCTCCTGGAGTCCCATTTCCTAGAGTCCAGCATCCTGGATTGTTGCCACCTAGAGTCCTGTATCCTGGAGTCCTGTATTCTGAAATCCTGGATCCTGGAGACCTGTATTCTGGAGTCCTGTAGTCCTGTTTTCTGGAGTATTGTGTCCTGGAGTCATGTAGACTGGAGTTCTGTATCCTGGAATCCTGTATCCTGGATTCTTGCCACCTGCAGTCCTGTATCCTGGAGTCCTGTATCTTGGAGTCCTGAATCCTGGTGTATTCTGGAGTCCTGTATCCTGGAAACCTGTATTCTGGAGTCCTGTATCCCGGAGTCCTTTTTCCTGGAGTCCTGTATCCCGGAGTCCTTTTTCCTGGAGTCCTGTATTCTGAAATACTGTATCCTGGAGTCCTGTATCCTGAAATACTGTATCCTGGAGTTCTGTTTCCAACAATTTACAGAATTCTACACTTTTAAGAACAACAAACTACGATATCTCATAATCTCTACGTTGTTGCTCAGATGAAGAAATCAGGGTTAACGTTTTCAATCTGGTATTTAACTCTTCAAATGGAGGGTCACTTGAAAAATATGTTTACAGTCCCTTTAATTGTATTTGAACTAGTTTTGTTAAAATTGTCAAAATTGAATTTTTAAAACTTTTTCGTAATTTTTGACTCCAAATGGGTTTAAATTTTTAAATATCTTATATTTATTTTTATTTTTCTAAAAACCATATTGTTACAAGTTTTATAAACTAACAGTCTTGAACATTATTGTTTTCAAAAATGAAGAAACACATTATGACTATTATGCCTAATTATTTAGTCCAGTGTAAAAGCCATTTTAACTCAGTGTTAGAAATGGGCCAAGTGTTAGTTTTGGAACTAATTTCCCCTGTAATGTTATACTAAAGATTACGCCACAATCTCCTTATAATATTCAAATATGAAGTACACTCTCAGTACAGTTCATGGCCTTTACAATTATTAAAGGATTAGTATAAATCATCACTCTATATACTATAACCTCGATGATTTTTCTAAATAAAATATATTATAATAAGTTTCTAAAGATGTTTATTTATAAAATTCTTTAAGTGACTGCAATCATTAAGCAATTACAATTATTTTTAGCTACAATTATTTAAGAAAAATTTCCAGAAAATAATAGTTCAAAAATATGTTTATTTTTCTAACAAATTTTCATAATTAATTTGTGGGAGCGTAAAGACTATGAATTGACGGATTAGAAATATTATATTCGTTTTACTAATTTTTGAGATTTTTTCTTCCGACTTGATTAAATAAAAATAAATGAAAAGTTTCATTGTAAAAGATTGGTAAATTTCATCATAGAGTTTAGATGTAAGTAAAACCTGCTAAAGCTTTCTGTAGGCAATGATTGAAAAAATATATATTTACAATATATGTACAGTACCGTGATTCCACGCATAATAAAAGACGCCATCTTGAAATCTTATGAAAAAAGACGCGCCATTTTAAACTCATTTATAAAACTAATAATTTTTTATTTTAAAACCCAAACATACCTAAATTTCAGCATCAAAATGAGGACAATTCAATCGTCGAAAAAAGAGAATAAATTGAATTATTGATTAACTGATTGTTTACGTCTTGACGGGGCGCTGAGAGTCTACGTTGTAGATAGCTCTAAAGGTGACAGGGTGGTAGTTCTCCTGATGACCTCCCCACCCTCGAGCAATGGTGTTATGATTGTCCCACTTGTTAGAGGACGTCTCAGACTCACCTAGAGGACAAGCAGATTTAAAGGATTATTTTTAAGTGGACCGTCTACATCATAATGTCATGTGACCCTTCTGGGTAGCTAAATCAATAATTTTTTGATTATTTACAGTTTAAAGGGGTACTATTGTGAATCGACCATACACGTCTGGAATGGAACACCCTGAACTAACGAGAGAGAGTAGCATTCGGCTTATTTTATTTGAAATCAAACGTGTTTTCGTCTATAACTCAACAGTCTTTTGACTTACAGATTTGTTTATTTTATACCTTTTCATTCAAAATGTATATGCCAACAAAAAAGTATTTAAGATAAAAGGCTATAAAATTATGTAAAAGGGGTCAAATTGTGATAGAAAGTCACAGTTATCTGAAATATTGACAGAATCGTTAAATCCACGTGGGAAGGATCATTTAGAATTATGTCGACCGTTTCTTATTAAGGGAGTGTTTATTATTAAGGATGAAAGATAAACATTTTTAAAATATTGAAAGATTAATTTCGACTTGGCAAGCATTTTAATGTACTAAATGTTTGCCCAAACAAAAACAAATATTAAAAATCAATATTTGAAAACTTTTGAAGATTCAAATATCCCAAGTTCAATATCAATAAGGTATACAACAAGTATCAATAAGGTATACATTAGTAAGTTCAAGAAAAAATATATATATGTAACTATACACACAATCTAAAAAAAGCGGATAATCTATTATTTAAAGATAATCTTTAAGCTTTTAGCATAAAACCTAGTCTATTTGTTTTAAAATAACTGCTTACGTTCAGGCTCAGGCAAGTTCAGTTTAATGTAATCATAAAAAAATGGTCCAGCTTGTTTTTTCATGATTTCTGCAAAAAGAAAAAACTTTTCTTATTTATTGATATGTGTATGTAAAAAATAATATTATCTAAATAATATTAATGATTTTATACTGCAGAAAAAGTTTGCGAATTCCTAATACTTTACCTTGCAAATTTGCACGAGTAAGCAGGCCGTCATTTCCTGACCTTTCATCAGAGCCTGATAAAAAATTAAATTATCATTAAAAAAATATTTGATAAAATATATCTCCTTAAAAAGGTCTAATCTTTAAATTTTATTTATTTTCATAAACTATTGGGTTCATGTCAAAAATTTTGTTTGTTAAAACTTATTATTTCTAACTACAAACTAATAATGTGATAGATTTGAAAGTTTAAAGGCAAACCCCCAAATATTTACGGTTATTTGTGTTTGTGTTAAGTTAGTTAGTATTGTGTAATATGCCCAGTTGTCGCAAGGAAGATTTTAAATTTAAATCTTGTCATATGATGCATCAGCTGGAATGCTTGGTGGTAAACATTCAAAATGAAAAAAATTAAAATGTCTTTTGTAATCAATCAATCAAACTCAGGAATTTAATGATTTAAATGACATGTTATGGTCCAATTTAGGATTAAGTACAATTTAACAGAATTAACTAAGTGTAAAAATGCTCCTCACACCAAAACTTGTCAAATAAATTGCCATACAGGAGACAGGAAGGTGAGGAGGTATAAGTTCAAACATTAGTTTTAAAGAAAATGACAACCCCATGCTTTGAGTAAATGGGCTCTATGAGCTCCCTCTGATCTGAACTGTGTAATAACCTGACTAGGGAGGTTCTGCTAGATCTTGGAGCCAGTGAATGAGGGGGTTCCTGATCCTCGTGAGGAAAAAAGGAGAGGAGAGGCACGAATATCTTGAGGAATAGGAATCATGGGAGGAAGAGGAGCATTAAGTTCGGCCATCATTCGAGCAATGTCCTCTTTAGACATATGGCTGGAGCGTTTGTCAAGTGTAACAGAGGAAGGACGGAAAGTGGGGAGGTGATTTGTGGAAGCAACTGATGCTGGGCGGTTAGATAGAGGAGTTCTAGGACGGGTAGGAAGTAGACAAGGACCAAGAGTTGGTGTTGTGAAAAGGACTGGATGGTTATCAAGTGGAGGGAAAGGATTGGTGGGAAGAGGTGTGGAAGCAGCAGACCGGGATAAGTCAGGCAGGGATAAGCTAACAGCCGGTTGTAATTCTTCTACTAAGTGGCCTAGTGTCTTTAAACTAGAATTAATCACAGTGTTATGTACAAATTGGGCATTGTGTGTGTTAGTATTTGTTATAAGCTGTCCTGGAGCCTGATTTGAAAGTACGCTTGGTTCAGGAGCTATTGGATCAATTACTAGGGGAGAGGAAACATGTTCAAACTGTTTGGAAGTAGCTTGAACAGTGGCCTGGTATTTAGGCTCACTGTCAGGAGGACAAAGAAATGAACTAGAAATAGGAGGGAAGGAAACATCAGAAGGTGGATCAATCAAAGGATTTGAAAAAGGAGAAACATTTTCAACAATTTCAGGAACTTTGGGAAGAGGACAAGAAGACTCTTGCTGAATAATGGCCTGGGAGTTAACAGAGGAAGTATTGCTGGAATGAAAAGACATGGACTTAGAAGAGGCTCTAGGAAGGGTTTGGCCATATGGTTTAGGACCAGAGGGTTTACTAATGTACAATTTGGAGGATGGAGAAGCAGAATTAGAGGTTTGAAGGGAGATATTGGATTGGTTCCATTGGGTGATATTTTCACCTCTCAATATGGCTGATGGATCTATAATTCCAGCATTAGCATGGGTAGTGGCAGGATCCATTAGAAGATAGTCCCTGAGGGACTGACGGCGTTGACTCAGCATTTGCTTCTGCTCTTCAGATAGTTCAGATTTTGCTCTCATCTCAACTGATTTTTGAGATGATTGGGTAGTTGATGACTGGCTAGTCTGGGTCATAGTTAGTTCTTGCTTTTGTTTGCGAGATTCATACTCAATTCGGGATGCTTCCATATCTTGTTTGGACTGAGTAGTTCTTGTCATGGTCTGGTTTGAAGAACTTGATTCAGATTTAGAGCTTAGATAGTTTAGAGATGGTCCCTGCTCTCCATTAAATATTCTTTGTTCTGGCAGATATTGGACAGGAATGTCTGCCTTAGGTTTCACTTTAGAAAAGTGTCCAACAAGATCTCTAACAGAGTGCTTTTTGTAATCAAATTGGACATCATCATCAACCAGAGAGTTGTGATCTCCAGTGATTCCACCAAATATGCCATTGTCTTTCATGAACTGTTGGTGGTGAGCGCTAACCTCATCCATTGAAGCATATTCATTTACTTCTCCATTTGAGGCACCATTGGTTAGCATTGATTCATCTTTACGTTTGTATCCCTTCAGAACACCACTTCCAAATTGGGTTCCCTCATAAACCTCTTGGTTGGAGGAAGAGGAAGTTTCATTGAAGGACATCTGCTGGGATGTATTGAATGACTGGGACACATCCATTCCTATAAATAAATATTAGAAACTATCATTGTTATAATCTATGGAAAAATCATCTCTGATTTGATATTCTTTTAAGATTTGAAATATACATATATCAAAGCAGTTTAATAATCTATCTAGTTGTAAGCAATGTTTAATAAGCTATTTTTAATGTTAATGCTAATAAGCTAAAGGGCAAACTCCTACCATTATTAAGAGACAATGAAGAAATTTGAGCTGGTGATGGGTGTGATGGTTGATTTCTGATTGTTTTAGAATCTACTCTATTAGAAGAGCTGGCTTGCTGGACCGAGAAGACCTCATGCCTGCTGGAAATACAAGACTCCTTAATCTCCATGGACTCCATTGCTTGTGTAGACTCTTGATATTGGACGCTAGCTGAGTACTCCAGCGCAGACTTCTCCTGGTTCTTGAACCACTCCTCATATTCACGTCTCTTCTCTTCTTCCAAGTTAACTATTTGGGAAAATTAGATTTGTGAGTTGGGTAAACAAAGGTTGGTTAGAATGACTCCTATATACTCTTAGTGTTATGCTATGAGCATGCAAGACCTTTCTTTTTCATTTGATCTTCGAAATCTGAAGAAATTCAATTTACTTTTAAGGGGGCCTACATTTTTGAACAATTCAAAGGATTTGAAATTGATGTACTTTTTGGCAGCAATTAAAACCCTTAATTTAAATATATTAATGTTTGAATATTTTTTTTACGGTGAACCCTTGACTTGTTTTGATTGCATCATTATGGGATTGTAACTTCTATATTTACTGTTGAGAAAGTCAGGAATTTGCTGGCAAAGTGTCAACATTACAACATGTAGAGATACACTACATACACATTTTATGCTAAGCCCAGAAAAATGATTAAGGGGGAAAGGTGTGAATGAATTCATAATGCCCTTTAGATGTACATATCAACTTTAAATTTACAATTACATTATTGCAGCTTTTTGTTAGACTCTACAAAAAAAAAAATTAAGAACAACATGCATATTTTACTGGTGAAATTTCTATGATAGATTTTATGTTTAAAGGTTCTCCTGGGGATTATATAATTTATGTTTAATATAAAAGAGGATACTTATGATGCCTAACCAATTGAAAATTTATTGCTATTATGTTCTATCAAAGCCGCCACAATTATTGAGAAACATTTAAATATCCTCTTTGAAGACACAGTTAGTAAATAAAACTTACCAGACATGCGGCTACTTTGCTCTTGGAAAATTCTCTGTTCCTCCTTTTTTCTTTGCTCCATCATCATGTGCTCTTCTACCTTTCTCTGTTCAAACATTCTATGCTCCTCCATATGCCTATGTTCTTCCTGCTGTTGCTCCAAACGGCGCTGTTCTTCCATCCGCTGCTGCTCTTCCATATGGCGCTGTTCATCCATGCGGCGTTGTTCTTCCATACGGCGCTGTTCTTCCATACGGCGCTGTTCTTCCATACGGCGCTGTTCTTCCATACGGCGCTGTTCGTCCATACGATGCTGTTCTTCCATACGACGCTGCTCTTCCATTCTGTGCTGTTCCTCTAGTTGGCGCTGTTCTTCAAATCGTCGCTGTTCTTCCATGTGACGCTGTTCCTCCATATGGCGCTGCTCTTCCAGTCGACGTTGTTCTTCTAAACGATACTGTTCTGCCATAAGCCTCTGTTCCTCTATTTGTTGCTGTTCTTCCATATTACGTTGCTCCTCCAATTGTCTCTTTTGTTCCTCAATATGGCGCTGTTCTACCAAACGCTGCTGTTCTTCCATATGTCTCTGCTTTTCGATATAATGCTGTTCTTCCAAGCGCTGTTTCTCCTCCATATGGGTCCTCTCCTGCTGAATCCTTTGCTGCTCTTCCATTTTCATCTGCTCCCTCATTTGCTGTTCTTCAAACACCTGATGCTGGCTAGAGAACTCTTGCTTACTGGAAAACTCCTGTTTACTAGAGAACTCCTGCCTGCTGGAGTAGTTTTGCTCCATCTTCAGTTCAAGTGAGGGTGTAGCAGGACAAACTGAAACACTGGGCAGGGTACGAACACTTCCTTCTAAACAATAACATTTTAATTCAATCCCCTCTTGTCTATGTCCAAAGCTGGAGTATTTTACTTTTAATTCATTCATATCTGGATCTAGCTGCACTTTGAACGGACTTTCAACACAATATAAAAATAAAAACAATTTTAAGTGTTTATTTTTAAAGAAGTTGACTGCATAATTGCATGTGACCCTTTGATAAAAGAATTAAAGAGTTTAAAGAATAATTCCTAATATCTGGAAGACACTTTCTGGAATGTGTTTGCATTATCAGGGCAAAGTATTGTTGTGGATTGTTGAAAACACTCTTTAGATTCAGGGGTAAAGTTATCTTATCTGTCCTCCCTTAAAAATCTGCTTATTTTTACTTACTTTGTGCTCCCCACCCTCTTGGGGCGGTGTTTGCCCAAACGTTGATCCCTTGAACATTATGAATTCCAAGGTCCAAGGAAGGAGTAAAGCTTCGTGCCTTCAGGGATGTAGGCTGAAAGTTAGCCGGCAGCTCAATATTCTCACTAGAAAAAACTTAACTATGAAAAAATTGACGTAATGGAGATTTATTCTTAATTTAACTACTTTGAATTAGAGCAAATTGTTGCAAGCTAGTGTATAATAAACTAATAGCTGCATAGTAAACCAATGTGAATTTAAAACTAATAAGCTAAAATTTTGAAATTCCTCCTGAAAGGTAAAAACAGGCATTTTCAGGGACTGATGTTGATGAAAAAAGATATTAAAATTTATCAATCGTGAAATGGTAAAATTTGGCAAACCATTGTAAAAACTCAATTTTTGAGAGAGTATGACATATCTAACACATTAATAACACTGTCAGAAAATTGTTCAACCTGAGCATTTTCTGCTGCTCTTGTTTCCTCCTGATTTCTAACGACTGCTCCTGTTTAATGAGCTGCTGCTGATGAAACTGCTGCTGAGACTGTTGCTTCTCTTGTGAGAGCTGCTGCTGTTGTTGCCAAAGCTGTTGGTTCTGCTCGGAGCTGAGGGCAGCCTAGGTTAAACCAAGTACTTATATATAAACACACAGATGTAAATTAGTTTTTTTTTTCAATTCTGTAAAACATAGCAACTGCTAGATGCAGCAAGGTTAGCTGCTCCTATACATGAATACCTGTCCTATCTGGTACTACAGCTTTTGCTAGGAAAGATGCTTCTTTATAAATGTATACCTGTTCTAACTGCTGCTGCTCCATGAAAAGCTGCTCCTATATAATACCTGTTCTAACTGCTGCCACTCCTTGAAAAGCTGCCAATAGGAATACTGCTCTTTATAATGTCTACCTGTTCTAACTGCTGCTGCTCCTTGAATAGCTGCTCCTATATAAATGTATACCTGTTATAACTGCTGCCGCTCATTGAAAAGCTGCCAATAGGAGTACTGCTCCTTATAATGTCTACTTGTTTAAACTGCTGATGCTTAAAAAAACTGCTTCTATATAAATGCATTTATGTTCTAACTGCTGCTGCTCCTTGAAAAGCTGCTCCTATATAAATGTGTACCTGTTCTTGCTGCGGCTGCTTCTTGAAAAGCTGCTCCTTTATAAATGTTTACCTGTTCTAACTGCTGCTGCTCTTTGAAAAGCTGCTCATTTATAAATGTATACCTGTTCTTGCTGCGGCTGCTCCTTGAAAAGCTGCTCCTTTATAAATGTTTACCTGTTCTAACTGCTACTGCTCTTTGAAAAGCTGCTCCTTTATAAATGTATACCTGTTCTAACTGCTGCAGCTTAAAAAAGCTGCAATTCTATATAAATGTATACCTGTTCTAACTGCTGCTGCTGCTTGAAAAGCTGTTGCTGAGAAAGCTGATCTTGAATGAACTGATCAGCAAAGGCGGATGGTTTGTTTTGCCCAATACTTGTCTCGTCAACAACCCACTTCTCCGCCCTCTTCCGCCTCTTAGCAAACAATTCTCCGCCTTTAAAGCAAAGCCAGATATACAAAGGTTTCTATATATATAAAAAATGTATCTGCTTACAGACGGTGACAGTGACAAATATTGATTAGTGTATTTATATCCTTAAAGGGACTGTCAGCGTAGTATTAAATAACTCTCCATTCAAAGGTGACAAGGCCTGATTCCCTACGGTACCCTTTAAAGCTATGATCAAGTCTGAATTAGATATTCGTGTTTATAAACGGGAAAACTGGTAAATTTCAATTGTGGGTTCTCTACAAAGTGAATTTCTATACTACAGGAAAACATATAAATATTATCTGAACAAACTTAAAAAAGCAACAATATCTTCCACATTTATGTTCAGATAAAGGTTTCAAGGGTACCATTGTGAATCTTTGCACGGAGGGTCACTTGAAATTACGCTTACAGTCCTTTTAACATCAAGTGCAAGTTTATGAGTTTAGCGGCTCGAATTTATCAGTTATATATGTGTATTGATGACACGTCTATCTAGAATCACTTCATAAATAAGAAAAATACTTTTAGTATAGATTTGTTATGACAATAATTCTTATATTCGGCCATTTTAATTTTCCTTTCGTTTAAAACAAAATGTCCATTTTTTAACTGTACTTCTCCAGCTCTATAAGTGATTTAAAGTAATAAATGCCAATTTATTGAATGCCAGTTTAAAATTTTCAATGGCAGTGTGAATATGAAATGTTTTCATAATTTATACAGTTTAACCCAGAACGTCAGAGACATCGAAATTTTTTTTTAAAGGCGTTTCTCCACCTATTAATAATATAAAGCATAATGAAATGCTGTAGATTATATATACATTTTTTAAATTAAATAATTATATGGAGCTCTTTAAAACTGTTCTTGCATATTTCATAGCTATTTATTTATTTTACAATTACTGAAATGTTTTGTTTAAAAGTAAAAAACCCGCAGTAAATTGCCAAGACGACATTTTATAAATTTCCGAAGTTCTGGTTTAAACTGTATTTTCTTTATTGATATTCTAGTTCACAAAACCCATATTTTGGGCCAATTTTTCAATTTTATTTAGGTATCTTTTGTCAGAGCTCATAAAGCGCAGAATAATCGTATTTTCAAATAAATGAATAGAATTTCAACCGTTCGTTAACGACCACAACGAACGGTATACAAAAAATCAAGAATGTGGCTGGCTCTAGTTTTTTTATACAAAGTCACCCTTAAAGAATAACTTAGAGACGACTTAAATCTCTTTTAAGTACGTTAACGATTTGTAGGCTGCATCATATAGCACGGGGCCTGCACGTACATGGAATTCTTTTACGTATATCATCTAATTAATTCCTGAAAGTTGATTGATGCACAATTATATTCTTTAATCTAATATAAAAGAATTTATGTGTGCAGATAGATAATTGATAACGTATTTTCAAAAATACATTTTAAAGTGTACCCAATCTTGTTCATTGTTTTATTCTAATCTCAATTTTTAAAAATAAGCATAATCTAAATATATGAAGTTAATATTTTAAACATTTTAAAGTTTAAACAAACATTTTAGGTCTTTAAATACGTATTTTACAATTCAAAATGTTTTGTGGGAATCATATAAATATACATTGCACGGCTAAACCGATAGAGTCCACATTTTTTGTTAAATTTACATGACGTTCGAAAGACTGGTCATAATTTTTTAAAGGAATTTCTAATCTCTTTATCTACTTAACCCAATATTTAAATATTTCAAGCTATGATTTCTGTTAGATTAAATAATCTAAGTTTGAAATATTAAAAGTTTATAGCATCATGTTGCAAAGATATTGGGATTAGAAAATCTGAATTTGTGGAAAAAGCTCAAATGTTTGGAAATCCACCAATAAAAGCAGTAAACTTTGTAAAACTTGTCATTGCTATTATTCTAGAACTAGAAATTCAAGGCGCTTCGCGCCCTTCTTTCTAGCCTTAGAGGGCGCTTCGCGCCCAACTTCTAAATTAATTGTGAACACGTTCTCTTTGTGTACATCGTAAAACAAAACAAAAATAATTCGCGGATTTTCAAAAAAAATTTCGCGGATTCTCAAAATTTTAAAAAATTTAATGACGATCAAATTTTGATGGAGACAAATATTTGAAATTTTGATGATTCATAAACCTTCCCTGGAGTCCCTAGATGTCCCACAAAAAATTTGGGCCCGATCGGTTCAGCCGTTTTGACGTTTATTGGATACAAACAGACAAACAGACAAACAGACAAGCCAAATTTATATATAGATGTACGAAAATGACAAACTTGCAGTATGCTACGTTTAACGATTATTTATTATTCTAGAATGTACGAAAAAGACAAACTTGCAGTATGCTACGTTTAACGATTATTTATTATTCTAGAATGTACGAAAAAGATAAACTTGCAGTATGCTACGTTTAACGATTATTTACAGAAAAAGGGAAAAATTACTCACTTTGTGGATTTCTTTCTTTTCTATTCTAGATTCTGAATTTTTAAATGATTTTTTTAATATTTTGTGAGACCTTTCTCTACCTGTATATCTGTGGACCCTGTCCCTCTTGGGTTAGCCAGCTACTAACCCCTAACCTCCTGTCCCGGTCAACCTTCTGTCCTGGGCCCTAGAATCCTCCGCAAATATGGGCCCGGGAACATACTTTTCATTTTCTTATCCTGTACCGATGTAAACATTTTTTCACATAAAATGTATGTACATTTTCAAAAAAATAATTTTTAAAATTAAATTTTTCAATTTTGTTTAGACACCGTAATTACACAATAATTATTTGCAGGGAAAACAGTTTACTATTTATGTACAAAGTCTCCGGCTTTTTCAGACCCTTTTCCAGCCTTTGTTTTCATGTTTGTTTAGCTATAAACTTCAAGGTCATAAATATGTTTAATACTTGTGTGCTTCAAGCAGAGTATTATATAGTGCATTCATTTATAAAAGAGAAAATAAAGGATTAAATTATCTGCACAGATTATGAAACAGAGAGAATATAGGATTATAGAGTCAGCATAAATCTTCAATTCCATAATAAATCAAAATTCTTAAAAGTATGAAAAATGCGTTAAGAAATTTTTCAAAGGGTCACCGTTGCCTCTGTATTACTTTTTCCTCTCTGACTTTAGAGGTATTAACAAATATTTTTTCATTTAAATTTTTATTGAAAATGCTGTTAAGGAATCAAGATAAGCTTGAAATGATTCAAGACGCTTTAAAAACAAGGAGTTTGAATTCTTCCTTGAATTTACTAAATTAAACTGTAAACGTAATTGTTCAGTGACCCTGGCAGATAATAGCATAGACAAGCAAGAAAATAACCAGCATATAATTTCTTCCATCCCGGATCACTTTTATTGTGTATCCGATTCCGAAATCCCAATTTTAAATGAATTTGAAGGACTCATAATTGTGACATTAAGGTTAGCAAAAACATTGAAATTGGCTTTTTCAATGTGATTTTTCTCTAAATTCAAAATAACATTATTTATAAAAAGTAATAAATCTTGGTAATAGATAAAAAACCAAGAAACAATTTTCTTGGACAAATTGGGACTTAAGTACTTCTATAAAAAAGGAAAAATGCTTAAAATGGATATTTCTCGACTTTGCAACCATAATGAAATTCAAAGGTTTGACTTAAAGCTTATAATTCCTTTTAAGTCTGGTAGGACCGAAATATGTTAAAACTATCTTTCAGTTATGAGATTTTCAAATTATGGTCTGTTTGTTTTGTATGTATAACTTGGGAAATTGAGTAATGCCCCAGTTGTAATTCATAAAGTATATTCAAAATTATCAAAATTTCTAAAACATTTGTTGTACAAGTTGTTTTTGCTTTAAACATTGCTATCAATTGAATTTAAAATATGATAAGGACATCAATTGTAAGTTGTAGAACACTTCATTATTAATAGATGATTTTTTTAAAAATCCTCTAAGTCTGATTTCTAAATAATCTTAGATGAATTGATTTTTTTGTTTGTATTCTTCCTCACAAAATTCTATCTTCTAAGACGACATTGAATCTGGAAATTATTCAGGACGACATTTATTTATCACGCAAATCTTGGAAAAATACATTTTACAATCAATGAAGTTTATAATACAATGTTGGTACACAAATATATTTAAATAAAATATTTGAAATAAATATTTCCCGCTTCAATGGAAGAACTCCCTAATTAATTCATATAAAACAGCTTTTATCAAACAATCAATATTTTAACCTCTCTAGATTTTAAACTTTTTTTATTTTTAAATTCTCGATGTTAGTAGTGCGAAGTAGTGTTCACTATGTTTTTATCCTTGATTTGAAGAATTATGTGAAGTTTTAATTGAAAGTACAATTTAAAATCTAAATTTGAATAATTAAAGTAAATCAATCTAATTTTAACACTTTTGAGAGAAAAGAAGTAACCAATGAAATGTTTTTTAAGCTGTTTCTAATTTCCTTAGAGGCCGACGGTTTAAGGCAGCCTCGTCGAGGCCACAGGAATCCATGTTTGTATTTAAACTTCGACCCTTTCCAAAATCTTCGAGGACACCCGAGGATCGCTGAGTAAACCTCAAGGATCGGTCTGGGACGGAAGATCGATCCAAAATTGAGGATCGGTTGGAACCGGCCTGGGATGAATCGAGACCAACCTGATCCAGGTTGTAGTTTAGGCTCTTAAACTAGAACCAGACCATAATTAAAAGAAGTTGTCTTATTTTTGAGTAAAGCTCCATTTACAAAGAAGTGCATGCCTGATTCACAATAATAAAATTTTTCAAAACTATCTCATCTAGAATCTAGAATGAAAGTATTGTTGTTTGTCTGGCTTGAAAAGTTGTCAAGTCTTAAAATTTTTATATTGTGTTCCTCAGCCAGAAAGTGCATATTAATTTTGTATAAAAACCACAATTGGAATTTTTTTCAAGATTATTAGCATGAATTTATAATTTATACAGTGGTCGACGATTTTATCAATACAATGAAGACGATTTTTATAAGTTTTGAGTGTTATCAAACTTTTTTCGAATACAAAATTACATATCAAAGAAAAACTATTTATTTATCAGCTCTTTGTTTCCATGTTTTCCATGTTTCTATGTGTATCCATGTCGTTTAAAACCTTGATATAAATCAAAATTGAAATTGAAAGTCTTCTTCCCATTATTGGTATATGCGACGAGGACTGTACTTCATCAGCAAAGGTTTTTAAGGGTACTGTACGTTGTGAAACGGGCATTTGCGGTCACTCTAAAGATGAAGGGTTGTTCAAAATTATTTCTATTTTCTATTACAGGAACTAAAACTGGTTTTCAAAACTTACATTTCTATATTAGTATGGCCTGGTCATAAAACCTGATAATCGGCTATCACTCGCCGGCTGCTGGATCTTTTCGGCGGGGATGGTGAAAGCGGGAAACTGTGCTGAACTTTTTCAGTGCCGCCGAATTCTGTGGGAAAGCTCGAAAATGTTCGAGATTTTTTAAGAGAAACAAAATTGACATTTTCTTTCCCTCTATCTTCAAAAAGGGCCTTTGTCTTGGCCACCATGGATGTGCTGACTTGAGGAAATCCAACAATTGGAACAACTGGTCCACCATCAACCAATGGAACGACAGCTGATCCTTGCCCTTTCGGCGTCGCCATATTGATTTTTTTTGGGGATGTTGACATTTTGGGCGCCAATTCTTGGTCTTCCGAGGGTCTTGATTCAAGCAAGAAGGGTGTTTTTAATATTTCAGCAGGCTTTACAGTCTCCGGCTTATAATCAACAGTTTTGGGAAAAATAGGTCTAGGAATTTTTTCCTCATTTTTACTAAAATTGTTCTGTTTATTCTCAAAGAATGAAACAATGTTTTGATTGTTGTTGGATTGAAGAGAGAGGGGAACTCTTCTCGGTGCCGAGGGTGAGCTAGGGAGGGAAATGGGGGTGACTGCTTGTAGCTTTTGGGAGGTAATTGGGGCTGTTTGAAGCTGTTGGGTGGTCATTGGGCCTGTTTGTAGCTTTTGGGAGGTCATTGGGGCTGTTTGTAGCTTTTGGGAGTTCATTGGGGCTGTTTGTAGCTTTTGGAAGGTCGTGGGAGCAGTTTTTTGCATTTGGGAGGTCAATGAAGCTGGTTGTAGCTTTTGGGATGTCATAAGGCGCGCTTGTTGATGCTCTTGGGAGGTCATAGGTACTGGTTGAAGCTTTTGGGAGGTTATTGACGTTGATTGGAGCTGAGGGGAGGTCAAATAGGCTGTTTGTTCTTGATAAGGTGGAATGAAAGTTTGTTTAAGTTGATTGGACGCCCCGGGAGCAGGTTGAACAAACTTATTAGCTCTCTTTGGAGCAACAGGAAAGGGTGATGCTGTTGTTGCTGGCGTAGCAAACACAGGAGACTCCTTTTTAAGAGCTGACTCAATTCTTTTGGTATTTTCTTCTTTAATACTTACTTTGGGCTGAAAGAATTTCATTACTGTGTCTTGTTTTATATTGGGCGATGATTTAATTGTTTTTGGACTCCATGTTGGACTTATGGAGTTAGTATTTTTTAAGTTTTTAGCGTCCATTTTAGGACTAAGTAGCAAGTCTTTAGAGCCATTCAAGTCATTGTTTTTATGCGCCATTTTAGGGGACCCGGGTCCGAAAACACCTCTATTATGGTCAAAAACGCGTCTGTAAGCCGATACAAATGTGTTAGGACGGTGAACGGATGTCTCACCTTTACCCATTGTAGAGTTCATGTCCTCTAGGACAGGGTTGAGAATGTCTGGGGAGGCCTGGGACGGAGCAGCATGACCAGCCAAAAGATGAGCGTTAGGAAGCTCAGACGGATCTAGATCACTCCATTCGTGAACTTTTCCTAAAAAAAGACGCGTTGTAGTAATTTCAACACCAACAAATTTCCGTTTATGTGACTTGGACTGTGAGCTTTGAATTATTATTAAAAATTGTCTATTTTTTGTTTTGTTTGAAAATTTAAATGTTTTTTTAACATGTTTTGATTAAAAATGTTTGAATGCACTTTGTAACTTCTGATTACACAAAAAGTAAGAAATAAATAAAAATACGTTATACATGTCCTTAATAATAGCTGCAAACATAATTGACATTTCCTGCTTTAGAAACCACACTGGGGACGCATTTGTGAGTACACACACTGAAGAGACACCCAGTAAGGACTCACACTGAAGAGACACCCAGTAAGGACTCACACTGAAGAGACACCCAGTAAGGACTCACACTGAAGAGACACCCAGTAAGGACTCACACTGAAGAGACACCCGTAAGGGCTAACACTGAAGAGACACCCAGTAAGGACTCACACTGAAGAGACACCCAGTAAGGACACACACTGAAGAGACACCCAGTAAGGACTCACACTGAAGAGACACCCAGTAAGGACTCACACTGAAGAGACACCCAGTAAGGACTCACACTGAAGAGACACCCGTAAGGGCTAACACTGGCCGTATTTTGAGGACGCACATTTAGGAATAATATTGAGGACACATATTTGGGACGCTCTTTTAAAAACTAACTATAGGGCGCACAATAACTTTCAAGTTAAATGGGTTTACACGTTTGCTTGTGCTTCGTGTTAATTTTAATAGTCGTCTTCCAATTCCATAGTTGTACGGGTCCCACTACACACAAAGTTTAACCCAGAATAATTTATAAAATGTCGTCTTATCAATTTTTCAATGTTTTTTTTTTACTATTATTCCTAAATTTCAGTATTTGCAATAATAAATAAAAAGCTATAACATTCAATAAAAAAACTAAATATTTGCAGTATTACATTATTAGTAGGATTAGAAAACGACATTTTATAAATGTATTTGATGTCTCCGAAGTTCTGGGTTAGACTGCGCATACACCGCAGCTGTATATAATGGTATTTATTACCTTCAGGGTTCATAACAAGCTTGAGGTTAGGAACTGAAGCATGCTTTGGTTGATCATCATAATCATCACCATCTCCTGAACAGAGAACACAATTCAACATTTTTATAAAAATTAATTATCTTTTTGTGTCTTTAATAATTATGTTTCCAGTCATAATCAAACTTTTTTAGAGCAAGTCATAATCATTCTTCAAATCCTGTTTTCGATATTTTTATCCTTGCGGACGATTTTGAAAATTTTTCTTAACGTTACATATTTTCATCATTGAGCTATTCTCAACGTTGTTATAAACATTTTTAACATTGTGCTAGATTTTTTTTAGCATTGTGATAAATTTATTTTTAAAAATGTGTTAAATATTTTTAACATACTTTTATGAATTTAAATATTTAACCATGCATTAATATTATGATTTTTGTTTTTGGATTGAAAAATTCTAATTTAATGATTGTAAATACATGCATGCATTTATATTGAATTCCATGCAATAAGATAAATAATAATATGGTACAAATATAAACAATTCAGAAATAAGCACGTTCCATTTAAAAAATTATGACTTACAACTTGTCACAAAAAATGCATTTTTTCTTAAAACTCAAAGTTGATTTTGCATCAAAAAGGTTTTCCATTTTTTAAAGAAAATATGGAAAATTTAATGCATGGAAATTTATCAAGCCAGAGTCATGCGCGTTTAAGCCAAAAATGCACAGATACTTTGCTTAAACGAAACTTAAAAATGTAATTAATCGTTTAGAAATTAAAAAAGCAACCATTTAAGAAAGCACGTTTATTTTTCTNAGGAAAAAGCAAACATTTGACTTTCTTCTAAGGCTTGTTTATCATGCATATGAATATCCTTTATATCATAAGTTGTAAGTCTAAAAGTGTAGCTAGGAAAAATATAAATTCAAACAACTTTATGATGAACTGAAAAGGTTACCAGATTATTTAAACATATACTAACCATGGAGTTTATGTACCCATTGTCCTAAAAAAGGGTGTACAGTAATACAAATAATAACAATATTAAATTTTTTAAATATTTATTTTTATTTTAAGGGATTGTAAGCGTAACTTCGAGTGGCTCTCCATGTATAGATGGCAAGGCAAGGCCTTAAACCCTTGTCTGATAAAGTTTACAGATATCAATGTTTATCATTTTTACTCCTGTTTATTTTCAATTGAGGTTTTCTACAAAATTAACTACTGCAGGAAAACATAAAGCAACCATCAGATATAAACAATTTTAAACATTGTTGACCAAATAAAGATTTTAAGAGTACAGTTGGGAATCGGGCATTGACACTTTTCATGAAAGGTCACGTGAGGTCACGTGAGGTCACGGTTACATTTAAACTTTAATTTTCCTGTGCGGCCTTGAGTAAATAATTGTTTTTATAATTCTCAGTGTTTGACTTCTATTGAATAATATAGAAAATATAATCATTAAAATTCTAAAACCGGATAAAAAGTTAAATTGCTTTTAACATTCCTATGCGAAGTGAACCCCACACAGTTGGGTATTATGGGGGGGGGGGGGAGGTTTCAGACAAAATGAATTTATTCCATAAACCTATTATGTTTTAGTTAAAATTTCGACCGAAACCCCGCTATTTCATTGAAAACTATTGACTATATCAATGGTTTTGAGTGCTGCTGGAGCAATTACATCTTTCTATATGGCTGTTAGAATCTATTTATACGTTTAGATTATCCTGAAACCCCTGTACTTTCTTGTGCTTTTGCTATAGATATATGTTTTTCTTCCAAAAAGCTCGATGTAACAAAGACGACATCTAAATATATTGTGGGATTACAGGATCCATTCAAGGATAAATATATGAACGGGAAAAGTAATTATAAATTGAAATCATTATAAATCAATTCAAGCTACAATTAATACAATGTTTGTTAATGAAAAGATTATCAGAATTTATTCATTTTGTCAATTCTCACAATGAAACACAAGACATATGCATTTTAAGAGAAGCATTGTAACTAAAACCAGTCATCCACCCCATGACCCCCTAAAATACCCCACTGTGTCCCCCATACCCCTTCTCCCTCAATTAGTTTTACGAAAAGGGAATTTAAAAACAAACATAATTATTTATATACTTTAAATTTATCATTTTTCTATCATGTTTAATGACTCTCTTTGAATGCATCTTTAAAATTTACTTTTTGCACTTTGCACGTGCAAATTCTCTGTATTTCAGGGGCGGATATATTATCTTTTTAAATTTTAAAATTTTAACGAAAACTGATTCTTGTATTGAAACAATACGTTTTTCAGGTGTAATTTTTCTGATATCGATAAATATCCGAAAAATTTTAAGAAACATTCAATATTACAATTTCCCCCTACCTTCCCCCCTCCCCCTATAATACACACAATCTTAATCTTTCATCTATACGCTCCTTCCTATATAGCAGAACGCAAGGACCATTAAAAAATATTTAAATATAAAAATATATAAATGTTCTATTTGTTACGCCAATACTGAGGATGAAGAAAAAATTAAAAATTTTACATAAAAATTTATTTAATTTCATTGAAATTCATTGAATTATTTTGTCTGCTTCTGAAAAATGATGTATTATATAAATTTCTGAATACGCGTTTCGTTTCGTTTATATTCGTGTAGTGCGCCGTGTGCATTTCAATGCGATTATAATCCAAGATTACAATAATAGAAATCTCTTCAAATAAAACAAAAGTATTTACATAAATATTTATTATTTTATTGTCTTATTAATGAATAATGCCATTAACTATTCACAGCAAAATTCTTTCAGCGTTCGGCTTTATAATAATAATTATAATTATTATTTATTAATTTTTCTAAAAATGTCAATAATTTGAATACTATATCGTAATATAACTTATAATTTCTGTTTTATTTAAAAAAGAGGTCTAGTATAATAGCATACTGTGCACATGATACACCCATTAAATCAAGAAGTTATGTCTCTGATATATCCATGAAAGTTTAACAAAAAGCTAGTAAAAATAGCCATGTAACACATCTTTACATTTTTATAGTTTAAACTGTTGTAAAAAAGATCCCCACTCGTTCTCCCTCAGTTGTGAATAGTTTTAGTAAAACACTAAATTAGGTATCCCATTGCCAACTTAACTTAAGAAAAGAAGATATCTTTAACATACAGTTAGAACCAGAAAACTCTGGAATAGGAAGACGACATTTAGACTCAAGATGACTTTAAATAGTCCACTGAATATTAGGCACAGCAATTATGTGGTGTAAACAAACCAATTCCACTTAATTTTGCCTTAAATTTTTCAAGAAGAATCCTTCAATTTTTCCATTTTGTTAATTTCTGACAATTTCCTTTATTGTCCCTGCTGCATAAATCCAGAAATTACTTTTAAGCAAAGGCGCAATTAAAAATGAACAACTTTAGCCAAAAAAAGTTTGTCTCATTTATCAGTGATCAGACAAAGATCGAGTACTGTTGTAAATCGGACATACGGCGTGCAGCAATATAAACAGAGGGTTACCACAAAAACATTTATCAGCCCCTTTAAGCAAATTATTTTTGGTTCAGTAAATAAGTACATAATGTGAATAAAAGGAACTAAAAAAAATTATTAAAAATTGCATTATTTTCTTAACTTTAGGTTTCAGCTACATCACTATCAGTGATAAATAAATAATTGTTTGCATATAGTTTATAATTTAATTCTAAGCAATGATTTAAAAAAAAAATCTAATTATCCTTGATTATTAAAAATTGTGATGATGTATGAAATTAAAATAACAAATTATGTTTATTCAAAATTTAAACTGACTTATCAAAATATTTATTTTCACATATTTAATACATTCCCTGATAACATGAAATCTTTAATATTCCAGGTAAATATTTTGATACTTAACACCCCACAATATCAACTTTCTACTCTTAAAAAGAAACATCGGAAAGTATTCTTTAAAGAGCGCATATTAAACTGGCAAATATTTTCCAAAATTAAAAAATGGGGCCAGATATCACACTATTTATTGCTTTACAAGTTTTGTTTGTTTCAGAACATAACTGTATAAGGGTAATGATTGTTAGCTTAAAGGGACTATCCACGTAATTTCAAGTGTTCATCCATTTAAAGATATTTTTTTTTCAATATTTCCTTCCTTTCCTCTTACATGCATAAATCAACAATTCACGTTGTATAGAACCAAAATTAAAAACAAATAATTTTGAAATGAAAAAACAGGGATATCTCCCTTTTTGATAAGACACAGATTTAAAGAGTATCTGCTGGAGATCGGACATCTATAAATTTATAAATATTGAGCTTACTGAAAATTAATTTACGTCCTTTTAAGATGAAATCATGAAGCTTGAAAAGAATAGAATAGGATTGAAATGATTTATATTTCTAGAAAAATAAATGATTTTTTCCCTTCAAATATTTCAATTTATTACAATCAGTTGATTATCTTCAACATATCTGACATTCAGCTTCATCTATCTATCTGTCTATCTATCTATCTATCTATCTATCTATCTATCTATCTATCTATCTATCTATCTATCTATCTATCTATTTGTACTAAGCGCGCTATTACATACATACAGCTCGTGCGCAAGCTAATCCGTGCTTTGATTCAATCCATTTATGTTAGACATTGATTAAATGAAGGGAGGATTGGGGGGGGGGGTTATATGCTTAGGGAGAGGGGAGGGGGGCAGGCAGGGACTGGTATAGGCATGGTTATAATGCAAGGAAAGTTAATTGCAGGTGTGTATACTCTGCGTACAAATTGAAACTAGTTCTCTCTGGGTGGAATTTGTAAACAAGACTAGATGCATCAGTGTTCCTTTAGTATCCGAGGAGGTTAAAAGCATTAAATTTGGATAATTTCGATAATTCACATAAGAGTTTCCTATGACCAGATTATTTCATTGATTTTTTATGTGAAAGATGGATCCCATGACGGGCTTCGACATCCGTCTTGTGCTTACATTACCGCCCAGAGACAGTAAACTGCAGTACAAAAGATGCGTACACTTCTGAATAACTTTCCTTGCATTATTACCTTGGGTATCGGGATGCTAAGGAGAAAGAGGAAAAAGTAAAGAAGTGATAACAAATTGGAATAAAAAATTAAAAGAAAGGATAACAGTACTTTCTTATGAAACAAGAACTAAAAGATTAAATTGAGTCTGTTTGAATTGAAAATAAAGCATGTTTTTACACTATATCAATTATTCATTCCTAGAACATTTTTATTTATCTATATTTACTGGAGTCCTAATATTTGTAGAAATATAGAACTGGTTATAAAATATTTTTTATAATAACTTATAATTTCCCGTTGTTTGCGCACGTTTTCACGTTTCTCTTTAGTTTGTAGCACGTTTCGTAGAACGCTTTTTTTATACAATTCAGACATAATTTTAGTGGCAACTTATGGGAAGGGGGAAAGGGGGGGACTTTCCCTCTGGATTCTAGCACGTTTTCAGATACATATCTGGATTCTAGCACGTTTTCAGTTACATATATCCGGATTCTAGCACGTCTTCAGTTACATATCTGGATTCTAGCACGTTATCAGATACATATCTGGTTTCTATCCCGTTTTCAGATACATATCTGGTTGCTAGCACGTTTTCAGATACATATTTGGTTTCTTGCACGTTTTCAGATACATATCTGGATTCTAGCACGTTGCTACGTAGAAAACTAGTCTTTTCCGGGTCAGGGTCCTGGGAGTAAAATATGCGTCAATATGCGTAAATTTGTCTCTGTACGCATATCCTAGGGCGTATACAGTCTTTGTAAATCATAAATCTATTTAAATGGTTAAGGCCAGGAATCAGGATTAGCTAAACTTATTTTTACCCACCTATACAACTATATCTATCCTATATACATACAATACATTGCGTCATATAACAAGTATCTAATTGACCCCCCCCCTGCCCCCACCCTAATCGTTAAAGTTACTACAACATTTAACTAAACTAACGAAATTAACGAATTTAACGAAATCCACTAAAACAACGAAATACCTGCATTCTGGGCTCTGTTCATGTACATCTGTTGTCCTTTGCTTTTCTTGTTCTCATCTTTAAACAGCGCGCTGGTCAGCTTGTGCGCCATTTCAACCTGGGAATAACTGGCTCTTGTAGTACACGTAAAACTAACTGTCTCTTTTAGAATATTTTGACCTCTCATTCAAACTCCGTAAAAAATAGCGTTAGAGTCCTTGTACACTTAAATAAATAAATCTATAATATAATGGGTGAAAATGGGTACTAAAGTTAAGACTCACTTATACTTTCAACCAGAACCTCTAGTTTACCGTGAGCATATAGCCTAAATTTCTAATGCAGAATAGTACACAGTACAAATAAGTCCAGTACAGTACAGTACAGTACAGTACAGTACTGTACAGTACAGTACTGTACAGTAGAGTACAGTACAGTACAGTACGGTACAGTACAGTACAGTACAGTACAGTACAGTACACTCCAGTGCAGTACAATACAGTACATTACAGTACAGTACAGTACAGTACAGTACACTCCTGTACAGTACAGTACAATCTACCTGATCTGCTACAGTAGGATGATGTTTAGCACTATAGAAGGAAGAATCAGTAAACATCTTCCTAGGGTCCCCTAGATAAAGAGATATAAAGATAGAAGGATAGAGGGATAGATAGATATATATATATAGATAGATAGTTACATAGATAGATAGGTAAATAGATAGATAGACAGATATATAGATTGATAGATAGATATAGATAAATACATAGATAAATAGATGGATAAATATATGGATAAATAGATAGATAGATATAAGAAAAGATAGATAGATAAGTACATGAAAGATTTCAATATAGATAAAGATGGTATATGTAACTATAAAGAGATCGTTAGACGGTATAGGTAGTTAGATAGATAGATAAATTATACATATATAGGTATCTATATAAAATATATGAAAAGTAGTAATCTTTGTTTGTCTGTTTGTATGTCCGATCATAAATCATGAACCCCTTGATTGATTTGGGAACTCGTGAAAACTACGGGAATGTCTTAGTTTGGTTTTGAGTTTCTTAATGAGTTCACTCCAAAAAAAAATAGCAAAAATCATAATTTACGACCAAGCGCGGGTAAAAACCGAGAGTAACTAAAAAAAACCATGGCAACGCTGGGTTTTTAAGCTAGTATGTAGTAAAGATAGGTAATCATTAACCCGTTTTTTTTTGGCTCACCGTGTAGTGTAGATAGAATGAATTTGTTAAAGTTTATATGGCGGTTTTTTATGTGGATTGTATTGATGTTAAGAGCGGGAAATGCTGTTTAATAGGAATGTTAAGATACTTCTTAGTTTGGTTTAATCGGTTCTTACATTCCTCTTTATAAAGATAAATATATAGAATATAGATATCAGAAATATATAGATAGATAGTTACTTAGATAGATAGATTAACCATATTTATGAACTGAGGGGAGCAATCAGAAACAATTTTTATTAAAGGAAGTGTTCGAGAAAAATGAAAGGAAAATAATCGCTTTTGTTCGCTACTAATTCTACTTCTTTCTGTTTCGTCTAAAAGGACAAAATTATTAAAAACGACTTATACTGAAGAACTCAGCGTCCATTCAAATTCAGAAAGATTCATTATACGACTCGGATCGTAAAAAATCAATTTAATTTCAAACAAATCATTCAGATATTACAAACAATAGTCATCGATTATTTTTCGAATCAAAGCCGATTATTTTTCGCCGTAAGCCTGTACGGCCTCTTTCATTTTTCGCAAACACTCCCTAATAAATATGAAAACTGAGAAGCTGCTCTTATTATTGATTTATTGTTAGAAGATAGATAGATAGATAAGATACATAGATAGAGAGATAGCTTACTGATCCCAGCTAAATTAATGACAAGAGCAATTAAGGTGCAACACAAAACCTCATCACAGGTCATCTAACATAATAAACAGGGTTGTCAGCGTGGTTTTGCAATCTAATGGATAATCAGGGCAAAGTGCCATCGTTCCTTCAGATAGTCAAGGACTTAAGTGCCAATGTTCCTATGCATGGATGATTAGGTCCAAGTGCCAAAGTAAGATGCTTTGGATGATAATAGATATAAGTGCTATTGTTCCTTTGGATGCATTATATGATACTTTTGGATAATCAGGGCAAAGTGCCATCGTTCCTTTGAATGACTTGAAACAAGAGCAAATATTCCTTTGGATGATAATGACCAAGTGCCATTGTTCCTTTGGATAATAGAGACCAATTCCAAATATACCTTTGGATGACTAGGGCCAAGTGCTTATGTGCCTTTCGATGATTAGGTCAAAGGGATATTATTCCTTTGTATGCTTAGGGCCTAATGCCAATGAACCTTTGGAAGATCAGGTCCAAATGCCATAGTTCATATGGATGATTTAGTCCATGTGTCAATGTTCCTTTTGATGATAAAGACCACGTACTGTACGTACAAATGTATCATTGGACCATTAGGGCCAAATGCCTATGAAACTTTGTATGATTTGGTCCAAACTCCAAGTTACAAAGTTCCTTCCAATGACAATGCACCTTGGATGATTAAGGCCAAGCGCCAATATTCCTTTAAGAATTTGGAGTTGAAAAACTTATTTATGCTTTTAAGCTATAAAGTTCTGTTAATTATTATATTACCAAGCCGTCCATCTAAATTATAACTGTAACACTGTTTTATGCAACTCATTGCACTTTATTTTAACTACAAGTCGTAAACCAACGACCCCTCTAACCCACCCCTNTAGTTTTTTTCAAAACTGATTTTCCTCCCCTCTGTAACTCTTCTTTAACAATGCAGCAAAAACTTCTAATTATTTCCCCTCAAATTAAACATGAACCTTCAAAGCAAATACTTCTCTTTGCAGCATGTTAACCATTTATGGGGGAGGGGGCCCGGCGGAGGTAGGGGTATTTGGTTATTCTAATTGGGTGTTATTTTCTATGCCAACATCCATGTTTTAACATGCATTTGGTTAAACACTTTTTTGTATTTTCACATTTTTTCATATTTTGTTTGTTTGTTTAAAAGTTAATTATATTATTTTTAACATTAAATGTATTCCTTTTCCCTACATAAAGTTAAATTATGTTTAACTTTACAGATGCTTTCTTGGTATTTGAATATTTAATTTTATGATAAAGTTTTCCAGTATTTCTCATCCTATTCTAGAGATTAGGAAACAAAAAGGCAAAATTTTTTATAAAAATGGCTAAGGCTAAAAATGTTGAATGATTGGGATCGCGCTTAAGTCACATGTGCATATATTTAAATATATAAAAAAAGAAAATGGTTGGCTGATTCTGACTTGCGGAGAGGAACAAACAAAGCCTGAACAAATAGATTTATAGGGACTGTAAAGGATAAATGAAAGGGGGTAAAGTATAAAACCTGAGAATCTCAGGCGTTGAACGATACCTGTAAGAAATCTTTCAGATGTTCCTGTCTCGAGAAATTGATTAAAACTGTGTGAAATTTATACGAAAATTGTATATATATGAATTTCCGTATAAATTTGACTGCACAGTTTTATATCAATTTCTCGAGACAGGAACATCAGATAGACGTTTTTATATATATCGTTTAACGCCTGAGATTTTCAGGTTTCATCCTATACCCCCTTTCATTTATCCTTTACAGTTCCTTTAAGGCATGCGTTTTAACGTCAAACTACAGTAAATTTCACGTGAGATTGAAAAATTATTTGTTTTCAATCATAACTTCTTTGATTCAAGAGATATTGAGAAGAACTAAAATGTTTTGTAATCGGATAGATTTGCCTGTCTCATACTTGGCGTAAAATGAAACTTAGAGGAGCTACGAGGTCACAAAGTCGTAACAATAATGTCGCATAAAATTTATCATCTTTATATATATATTGATTTGAATCTAACTGAATACTGCTGTACTGCAGACCTCAGGCACTTAATCGCTTCAATTCAAGAAAAGTCTCATCTGCGACCTAGAATGTGAGGCGTGTAGATTAGCGCCAACTTAAACAAAAGTTTCTAACTCTGGTTTAATAACTTGTTTATCGGGACTCACTGTTTACCACACACACACACATCTCACTAGACCAAACAACCCCCCCCCCCTCCCCATCCTCTCCCTCTCATACCCCCCTCTCCTATCCCTCCCCCTCCTCCTCAGACCTGGGTTAAACTCTTAGTCATTCTATTCTGCCTGGTAATGCAATGATTTCAAGTGCTTTGATACATCTAGATTAATCCAGGAAGCGCAGCGCCGTAGCCGGGCTGAACTGAAATGGAGATGACATTCGCCGTAGGTTAATTTAAACACCGATTATTTCCGCCGTAAACCAGCTTGACATAGAATCGTATGCCGTTAACCAACCTAAGCTGCAAGTCCTTTTTTAGCTAAGCATAAACGGATCTAAACTCGCGAATTACTTGAAACTACCAATTTTTAGTAAGTTAGTTTTTTGGACAGAAGCTTTTAAAGTTTTTTTTTTACTTACTGCGTTTTAGGGAGCCAGTATCATACTCTACTGGAGCGGGAGTCATTATCTTCTGCAGCAGGGAGCTATTACTCCCTGATTCCTGAAGTTGGCTCCCCTGGAACAAAACAATATAATATGTAAAGCAAATTCTGTACACACCGACCCTAACTGTACAGTATAGCACTGTACATGCAGATGCACAGTGCTGTACTGTTTTTGTATCAATGGCAGACCGCGTTTTTGGCTCATAAGATCACGATGGCGACTTTTTTACAACAATGCACTTTTTGATTTTCACAATTATTTCTTCAGATTCATGTTTCTTGATTTTTTTTCTGTACCCTGCGTTTTGATAGTAAACTCTTCGTTTGCGCTTTCGTCATCCACATTCTCTTACTGTTTTATACATTGCAGATAATAAACACATATAAATATAATTGAGAGATTTCTAGAGAGTTAGAACAAACTTAAATTATGTCAACTTAGACAATAAAACAACAAATAAAAACATATATACAAATAAGATATAAACAAATATACAGGGGGCCCCATAAATCTTTGATAAAAGGAAGACGACATTTAGTCATTCTAATGTGTATTTTCTGTTATTTTAAAGCAATATTTGTATTTGGTATGTGTCGTACATTGTATTATTTATGATCAGAAGTTGAGTCTTACAGTCGTCTTCCTATTCCACATTTTTATAGGTCCCACTGTATTTCTTCAGTTTGTTAAGATTCCTAGAACTAAGTGTGTGGCAACATTGAAGATTCTAACCCTCTAGTTACATTGTCTCTCTTAATTAATAAATCTAAGTTTAGATGTGTTCTTCAATCTGCTGAATTCAATTCCTAAGTTGGGTTAAAAACTCTCTTTTCCCAGGATCTTTCACATCAGAAGGAACAAAACCTCTTCTCTCTTCCACCACTTCTTCATCTACAAAAGCATCTTCAACATTTGCAAAGTGTTTATCGGAATCATCAATTTTAAATTTATTTAAGTCCTTTGCTCCCCCCCCCCCAAAAAAAAAAACTACAAAAGATTGTTTGTTGGTACATGTAAGCGTAATTTAAAGTAACCCTCCATGCGAAGAGGACATCGCTCGATGCACAACGGTACTCTTGAAACCTTTTTCTGATCAATAATGTGAAAAATCATTCCATTTTTTTGGTTTTGGTTTTACAGCGTTTGATTCTAATAATTCCTATGTTTTTTTGCAGTAGAAATGGCCAACTCATTTTTGAAAAAAAACCACAAATAAAAATAATCAGTTTCAAAATTATGAACATTGATATCTAATTCTTGCGTGATCATGCTTACATAGCTTTTAAGGGTACTGTTGTGAATCGAGAATTGCCATGGAGGTTCACTTAAAATTACGCTTTCAGTCCCTTATAAGAGTAAACAAAATACAATTAGAAAGGGTAATGAAATTTTAAAGCTAATCTGGGTTTAAAAGACCTGGTTTAAAGATTTCTTGTTTTAAGTTTCTGCCTCTGGTCATTAAATCAATTCACGGTACAAGATGTTATCAAACATCAAGTCATAATCCTGGAGGAGGGGGGGGTGGGGTTGCGCACAATACATACTATTTGCAGAATTAATGCCCTTGCCTGAGGAAAAACACTGAACTGATTTTTTATCGTTTTTTGATGATGAGAAATGGTGCTTAAAGTTCCGCTTCAGCGTAGACCCAGCTGATGTCTGTACGAGGCGCTGTTTGAATGTTGAAAGGGAATCGGTTTGGTTTGGGTTGGAAACCAGCGCCATCTTGAATTGGTATTCTGTACTCTGTTCATTTAAAGTTCATAAATATTTAAGACCAAAAAAAACTTTTGAATAGAAAGACGACTGCTTTGGGTTAAAATACTCCAATAAACATGAAACACATCACATCCATTGTGCAGTGCACTGTATTACACTCTGTAGTCTGTACAGTACAGCGAACCATTTTACTCAATTATTTGGCTTTCTAGCTACTGATAAACATTATGCTTGATAACAACATACACTTACACACACACAAATGTCGTCTTCCTATTCTACGGTTTTATTGGTCCCACTGTAGTATATCCCAACATTGTTGTAAAAATAGATATTTTAGAAATCCCGCAATGTTTTGCGATTTATATATGGAAGGAACAATGAGAAAAACTGTTTTCTGAAGAATGTAACTTTAGACTCTGTTATCAAATGAGGTTAAGGGGGCACCTTTGTTTCTCTCGTCTCTTGAAGATGAATAAAAACTAGATAAAAAGTTAAACAACAAACACAACATGCATAAATGTCACGCTAGAGAGCTTTTATGAATAATTTACTTATTTGTCCTATACAGTTAAATATTTAATACAGGACAGAGTTTAATTTTTAATAGATTTAAGCTCCTCTGTAGAGATTAATTCATAAATCAACCTTAACACGGTTTAAGTTACTCCGTAGAGATTAATTCAAAACTTAATCTTAACACGGTTTAAGTTACTTTGTAAAGATTAATTCATAAATCAACCTTAACACGGTTTATGTTACTCTGTAGAGATTAATTCAAAACTCAATCTTAATACGGTTTAAGTTACTCTGTAGAGATTAATTCAAAAACCAATCTTAATACGGTTTTTGTTAATCTGTAGAGATTAATTTAAAACTCAATCTTAATACGGTTTAAGTTACTCTGTAGAGATTAATTCAAAAATCAATCTTAATACGGTTTATGTTAATCTGTAGAGGTTAATTCAAAAATAAACCTTAATATGGATAAGTTACGCTGTAAAGATAAATTCATAAATCAACCTTTTAATACGGTTTAAGTTAATCTGTAGAGATAAATTCATAAATCAATCTTAATATGGTTTAGGTTAATCTGAGCTGAAATGTCCTTAATCCCGATCGGTTAATTAATCTAGCGCTTTATGACAAGAGGATAACAAGCATTATTTTATCTGGAGATTAAAAAAAGAGGAGATAAAGCATTGATCTCGATATCCACCATTCTAAAGTTTTCAGCTCTGTAGAGATTGATTCAAAAATTAGTCTTGCAACTGTTTTCATCTTATCAAGGATTTTTTTACAAATTTTTCAGAAGTTTTGTGTATTCTGTTTAAAGCTAAAACTTAACAACCGTAATCTCTTTTAGAAATGAAATTTGAGAATAATTTTCATACATTTAAATGAAAAATAATATGTTAAATAAGAATTTTAGAATTTTTCTTCGTTAATTGTTTTGTACTTAACAATGTTAATTGTCATGGGAGTGCGCAGGGGGGGGGGGGGGAAGTACCGTAGTATGAAAAAAATAACTCTGTAAATATGGAAGGTGTAATTTCCCCTGACTGAAATACTAAATAAGCCTATTAACTGAGATGATTGATCACTGATGTTTTACCACGTTGTAGTTCATGATAAGCTTATTACTCACAGACCAGACATATTAAACTATATAGACATAGTAAGGGTTTCCACCGAACGAAAATGAGTTCTGAAGAAAAAAAACCATGCAAAGTTTCGCGAAAAAAGGAAACTTTTTCGCAAAAAAATGCAAAAATTTCGCCTGAATCTGTTTCGCGAAAGAATGCAATTTTTCCCATATGTTTTCGAACGGAATGCGAAAAATTTCGCTGGGAACCCTTAGTGCACATGAAAATATTTATAAAAGGGAAACAAATGGTATTACATTAAATAGAGGTATAGCCATTCTTTTACTGTAACATAAATTCAAATTATTGGAAATGTGAATACCAAAGAGAGATCAGGTTTTTTCTTGTACAACAAACAAGTTGTGTTGGAAAACCTGAAAGAATTCAAGCTAAAATAGAATAAACTTTAGTCTGATGTGACCCCCCCCCCTTTTAAGAATTTCCTGCGGCATCCTCCCATCTCAGCTGATAATCTGATAATTTTCAAAAAGGCAGAAAATGCGCCATTTTGTGGCGAGGTGATAAATTTGCAGCAATTTTCCGAGTAATTAGATCTTTCAATCTTTTTAATCTTTCAATTACACAAATTACTTCAGTCATTTTGAACTTATCATCAATTTTACTATGAAATGCCATGATTTTTAATCAGTAGGGTACTTTAATTTTCTAATCCCCATATATTTGAAACCTGATGTAAACTTTATGTTGATATTTCAAACCTATGATATTATGAATATATTAGACAATTTAGATTTGTGGTGAGTGTTCAGTCCCTTTCCTGTTATCCTTGGAATAATTAAAATAGAAGAACTATAACATTTAAATTGACAAATTATTCAAACTTTAAAAACAATGGCAACCTTGTTTCTCAGATAGTTGGCTTTCTCGATCTTCAGCATAAATATTTATTCAGAGAAAACTTTATAAATAATTTCAAAACTGAATAGATCACAGAGCTGGGAACTTTAAAATGGTGGCTATCAGGATTAATGCTTAATCGTCTGTTTTTGTTATTCTCGAGACTAACATAATCTCGAGATTATGTTGGTCTTAAGATTAATTATTTAGATCAACTAATTTGATTCTAAGAAAAACCAGATTTGTTCGTTCTTTATTTGTTAGAAATTGTGGAGGTACGTCTCTCACTGGATACAATTTATTTTCAAGGCTGTCATTGGTCAATAGAATTTACGGATATCCAAAGAGAGAGAAAAAGAGTGGATTACGAACTAAAATTAAAAGTTCCAAAGCATGGATATTCGGATTAAGCAGTAGGGATTAAACGTTATCCATTCTAACGTTCCCAGCTCAGATTTTCTTATTTTCTTCTTTTTAAACATTTAAATTGAAAAAATAAAAATAACGTTCAGAAAAGTCAATTTAAATGAAGTCACTATTTATTAAAACCAGGATTAAAATCTTAAGGCTCCTAAGTGGAAAATATTGATTGCTAAAAGGACTGTCTAGATAATTATTTATTCCAAAGTTCCAGCATTTCATATTAGCAAAACAGAAATCGAAAATTCGAGAAAGATATTTATAAAGAAATATTTTAATTTTTTATATTTTAATAAAGAAGATATGTAGATATAGGTATTTATTTTCTCCTCTTTTAACGAGATTTCATTGAAAGAAGCAAAAATGTTTAATTAGAGTATTCAAATACTAGGCTTCAATTTTAACTTTTAGTTGCACATCTGTAACTGTAAGCATCTTTTCTTTGTACAGTATAAAACAACAACAAAAAAGTTCGAAGATTTACTAATATTTTTTTGCACATTTTCAAACTTTACAAAAATCAAACACTTTTGGACACAATTTTTTGTATTTTTGAGCATCCATAAACCTTTCCTGGGGTCATGTGAGGTCCCACGCCAAATTTGAGCCCGATCGGTTCAGCCGTTTTGACGTTTATTGGATACCAAGAGACAAAAAAAGAGACAGACAAGCCAAATTTATATATAGATATTGAATGTTGGATGGAACACGAGGATTGTCAATCTAAAATAACACTGCTGTTAAGAGGTGACTTTAAAATAGATATTTATATAACTTAGTTCGCGCAAATACTTTACAAGGGTTGGCGAAGAGGGGGAAACAAGGGTGATATTTAATTTAACCCCAGGGAATTTGGGGGGAAGGGGAAAAAGGGGGAAATTGTAAAGTGGGGGAAAATGGAAAGCTAAAAGGATAAAGGAGTGATTGAACACTGAAATAATAGATTGTTAAAGCTTCTGCAGCAGAGTGATAAATGTTCTGAAAAGTATGCATATATGACTACTTTTTCTCCACCCTCCTATCCCCCGACTCATTAATTTGTTTAACCCCTTCCCCCCTAACTAAAGTACAAGGAGCAAAACTTAAATGTCTTCACCAAAGCAAAAAAAATGTATAACGTTGAATCTGTATTTTGCAATTAAGACTGTTGAAAATTCAAATATCTTGGATCGAATAAAATTTGGGATAAGTTTACACAATCACTGTTCAACAGCCTAAACATGTCAATCTTTTCGAGATCCGAGATCAGCTGTTTTTCCAAAATTGTGTTTTTTAATGACAAAAATCGTTATTATTAAAACCCATGAACTTTCCTGTAGATCTGAAGTTAGAAGTAACTTGAAAGCGGGAACTGGAAATTATTCAACATTTTATGAGAAAATTATGAGACAATAGCCAGAGTTCCTCCTTTGTTCTGCTTTCTCCTAGTAGGCTGGCCGGCACGCTACTGGCAGGTAGATAACTCTACTCTCTCTACCTGGCACTTCCTGTACCGGTCCGTCTTCTGCCCTCTAGCTGCAGGGGTTAGTACTACTAAGCCAGGAGCTACGGAACGCGCCAGAATTTACCGCATTTCCTGTAGATTTCCCAGCTTTATAGGACACAAAATAAATATTGCGTAATTTTCATTGAAATATTTTGTCCAGAAATGTTTGCGAACAAAAAGCACATTTCAGTCACGTCTGTAATAGGCAAAAAGAATTTGTTCTGTATCTGCTTAGTTCTTCTTTACCATTTTAGGTTTAAAACTTTTCTAGTCATAAAACATTAAAGGAAAAGAGGGAAAGTTAAAGATTATTTGCTCCTTTAAGAAATAAACTTATTTTTCAATGTTTGTAGGTTAAATATTGTTATTATTGTGTAATCTAATCAGCTGAAAATTCTCTGCATAACTGTCAATCATTATACAATTATATAGATCAACGACTGAGTTCGCGCATTCCATGAATTCACACAATCATACAACAATCCCTGACATACTTTTCGCAGATTTTAAAGAAACATTATCTTTCACGAGAACTTTAATTACCTATCTATAGGTTATCAAAAACAATCTTATGCAAACAAAAACAGATAATTAATTTTTTTTAAATTTTGATACTCCCAAATACCAATACATAAAAAAAAATGTCAAATATCACATTAATTTTTTTAAGGTTTTCATCGCTAGATCTTACGAGCCAAAAAATTTGCAAATAAAATAAAATCGGTGTATTCAGAATTAAGGGAAAAGGTTCTTATTCTGCAAAAAATAAAGCTCTAGGTAAAGAATTTTTTCTACTTATTTATGCAAAAAGGCCCAAAAAAAAGTTCCCCTGATAGAAATTTTTTTTTAATGAAATTTTTATTGAAATAGTTGACAATTGATCCCTATGTTTTTTTTTCGACCCTTGTAAAATACACTGTTAAAAGAAATCGTAAAAATATTTTAAAATCCGAACCTTTTCGAATTACCGAACAAAATTAACGACAACTTTGTTTGTACTTTTATAATGCTTTCGATCCTTCGATTTTTCAATCAAACCGTCAGATTTTTTCTAACAATGTAGTTGGAAACGTCCTACCTCGAAGGAGATGTTTTGGGAAAATGATTTCTCTACAACAGATTGCTTCATCTCAATATTCTAAAAATAAAAAAATGAGAAATCTGATTATTTCTAAAAATAAGTTCAAGCATTGAAATAAGAGATAAGGAGAGGATGTTAGGTTTGTATTGTATTGTATTAGATCTACTACAGAAAATTCAGGGGTCCTCATAAAACTGTGGAATAGGAAGACGACATTTAATAAATCTTGTGTGTATTTGATAATGTTACAATGTAGCTAGTTACTTCAGACCCATGGAAAATTTGATTTCATGCTATTGATAATTACTGAAATTCTCTTAAATTATTGATTAAATTTTAACTTCTGACTAATAAATATTTAAATTTAAACTAAAAGTATAATATTTACATTCCTCATAACTAATTAAGCATGCAGACTACAATAAGTATGCAATTGGAGACAGCGCGCATGCAGACTACAACACGCATGCATTTGAGAAAGCATGCAGACTACAACTAGGAATACTTTCTAGACTTTAGGCGCTATGGAGACTTAAACAAGCATGCACATATAAGAAAGCATGCCGGCTGCAAAAAGCTATGCATGCATTACAGACTGTTTGAAGACTGCAACAAGCATGAATGTGAGACAGGATGCAGACTACAACAATTATGCATGTCATTTGAGAGACATCTTGCGTTGTTATTAATAATGTTCCCCCCCCCCCTCCTCATAATAGGTTTTGCTAGAAACATATATAAAAAAGAAATTTCCTAGTTTCTGTAACAAAAAATCTTTTATTCAGAGTTATTTAAAATATTTTGACGCAGATGCAAATATTGGATAGACAGAACAAATGTTGCATAAAAGAAAGGACCGACAAATTTGAGTTGATGCTATTGATCTTCAAAAATACAAATTCAGAGAAATGTTATATGAAAGTGGAACTAAAAGCTCACATCTAATTTTCTAATTTTCCTAAATCTATGCAATCATGATGCTGAAACAACACGGAATAAATTTAGTATTGTCTACCCCTATCCAAAGTGAGATATGAATAGTCTGATAATCCCTTCCCCCCCCCCTCACTTCAGGTAAAATCTGCTGATCAAGAAAGTGTAAAAATAATTTAGAAAAAAATGCTCAGTAGATAATTTTTATGACAAATATTTTTCACAAAAAAATTTTAGGTTTTAAGTTGGAAAAAAGTTGTACAAAGGAAATGGACACATAAACTCATTTTCAAATCCCTGCTGTATCTTTAAAACCTGATAGTATAATTTATACTGTTTGATCTAACAGAATTAAAAGTTTAAAATATTAAAGATATTGGAAAAAGAAAATTAATTTTAACCCTACAACGATGGGGGGAGGGGACGTTTTCCAACCCCCCCCCTGTGTTTTTTCTAAATAACTCAAAAAAAGCTTACAATAGAATGCTAAAACTTCTTAACTTTTTCAAGAACAGAAATGGTTAATAATTTTTTTTTATTAACTAAGCTAAATGGCTAAATTTTATCAATTTGAAAAGCCCTTAATAAAGGGATGTAATAACATGTGTCAGACATTAATGTTTGTCAAGAGTAAAAATAATTAATTCTAAACATTTTTTGGGCGTTCTTTTAAAACTTTTTAAAAATCCTCCCCTGACCATTAAAGTTACAGGGCTATTTTCAATGTGCAGGCCTTGAAACGTTGGACTAAGGACATGAATAACAATTCCCTATCTTAACTCTAAGTGCAAAATTCCCCCAATCTAATATTGATGAAAAAATATCCCAGTGGCGATAGGGTTAAGATAGCAAACAGCCACTATAAAATTTAAAAAAAAAGAACAAATCTTTCAATAACTTCGTGCCGAATCAAAATGCAAACTCACGCAACCTCTTCTTTAGGTTAAAACTGTCTGTAATACTTTTATGACTCCATAAATTTTAATGGTTTTGTAAAGTAATTTCATGAGTGGAATATATATATCTATTCTTACGCAGGGTTGCATTTAATTGATTTTTAAAATTCAAATGAAAGTAAATTTCTGTGAGTCATGGAAAATGCATACTAATAAAAACAGAAATCAGAACGTTCGTGATGTGAATCCTGGGATCAAGCATCGATCTTTATATTATGCAGATCTACAGATTAATTTAGATTCTCTTCAATATTCTGCAGTGTTCATACCCTGCTATTTAAAGCATTGATTCACAAATTGAATAGTGCCCTATCCTGATTGGGCTATTTTGTCTAATATAGATGGGGGGGGGGGGGGGTTCCCTTAGAGTTGAGAGAGGGGAGTGGGATACATGTCCCAAGTCCAACTTTTTAAGGCCTGCTAATTAAAAAAAAAAACCTCTAACTTTAATAGTTAGGGTGTAAGTGAGGATTTTTAAAAAGTTCAAAAAGTATGTCGAAAATTTTTTCAAATATAGTCATTTTTACTTCTGACAAATATCAACATGACAGTGACACATGCTTTCATATCCATTTTTCAAGGCCTTTTCAAATATAAAAGTTTTAGCCCTGTAGCTTAATTAAAAAAAGTGATTAACCATTTCTGATATCTTTAAAACACCAATGCATCAACAATTTTTTTTTGTCAAAGTTGTTCACAACTACCACCCTGTTTTTTCGTAAAATTTGAAATAACAAGGTTCTTGTGTTTGTTGTAATTAAATGATCCATTATTTAGTAATTAACACTGACTCAGGTAGATACAATGCAACTTAAAGGGGCTGTAAGCGTAATTTGAAGTCATCCTCCATATAAAGATTAACAACGGTACCCTTTAAAGCGTTGTCGGATCAATTTTAAATTAGTTATCAATGTTTTTGATTCTTTAAACTGCTTATTTTCATTTGAGGTTTCTCTGCAAATGGGCATTTCTGTCTAGTAAGAATTGCAACGAAAAAATAATCCAAATCTAACACTTTTTGTGTCACGATTCAGGAAAACGATCTTATCTTCAACATTTTTAACAGATTAGGTTCAAGGATACCGTTGTAAGACATTGCCATCTTTCCATGAAGGGCCTCTTGAAATTACTCTAACGGTCTCTTAAAATTCTAAAAATATAGCGATCTCAAGTTTTTCAAAACCCACATATTGTATTTTCTGGTATCTTCCATCTTGAATTTAGGGTGCTTAAATTATCGGCCACAAACTTGAAGGTTTGTATCATTGTTATTTAGTTTATGGGTTGACATTAATGATTCAAATTAGATTTGTTACATTTGATACAGGAGCTGGCTGGGGGGGGGGGGGGGGGTGCAGCCCCCCTTAAGTGAGCAAAGGGAGAAAAGGGGGAAGGAGGGAGGCAGATCGCTGATTAAGGTTTTAAACTGTTTTTGTTTTAAATATTACAAACTTTAAATTTGTATGTATTTTTAGAAACATTTAATCAATATAATGAAACAAGGCATTCGCATAATTCGCATATATGTTCCCTATCTCTCGCCAAACGGCTGGACCAAATGGGCGGAAATTTTTGAGGGAACCCAGGGGTTTCCCGGGGGTAACATAGGCTAAATTATAAATTTTTTTCAAAATTTTTGTTTTCACCATTTTTTTAAATAAGATTTTTTTTAATTCCACGGGCAACACAGGGCATTTCAGTTATATATACATTTCAATATTTATATATAAATAGATTGTTCTAAACCATGCAAATTTTATACCATGCGAATTTATGTTAGAAAACTATTGTTTCTATGTTATTTGTTGTCTACAGAATAGCAAATCTATAACTTGGTAAAATCTAAATCTAAAAAAACTGATTAGAGACGAACCGTTGAAAAATCCTCAGGTTCTTCCTCCTCAGCTAATAATTCCATTTCCGGTTTTTTAACCGGAAGTGAACTCAATTCCGGTAAATCTTTAGGAGAGAAAAATGTTTTTAGAACTTATTTTCTTTAACATGAAACTTATTTGTACTCGTTCATAAACATTTTTAAAAAACTTTAAAAAATTTCAACTCTCCTAAAGGAATAGAACTTATTGAAAAATCGGCCGGAAGTGAAACAGGTCGGCCGGATCTAGGCTTGAACTCTCCCGGCCGACGTAACCGGCAACTCGTGTTATCATCCTACAGAAAACCACCTATTATTCGGCGGCCAAAACACAACATGAAGAAAAAAAATTAAGATTAAAAAAAAATCCATTTTATACCAAATTTTTTAAAACTAAAAATGGTTCAAAAACATAAAGAAACATATTATGATTTTTAAATAAGATAGATATATTGTATAACATAATACATTTAAAAGAAAAAAACTGGGACGGTTTGAGGTAATAAATTCAACAGTTTGAGATAATAAATTCAACAGTTTGAGATAATAAATTCAACAATAAATGTAAAATGGCGACACAATCTATAAAGATTGTAGATGTTAAAACACCACCATTCAGCGGCCCTTTATTATTTTACCATATAAAGGGGAGTGGGTGGTACAAATCAAATTGTATTTGACTCATATATATACTTAATCGCCAATCGTCATAAGGTTTTTAAAGCATGGGGGGGGGGGGCATCAACGCAATAAAAGATCAGCGATTATATATCTCTATTGTTTTAAATGATATTTTTGTTAATTCGAAGTCCCATTTCTTTCTTACCTTGCTGAACTCTGCGAAGCCATTTTGCATCATCTGAAGCGGAATTCCAATCGGTTCCATCGGCTGAACAGCTGGCATCTCTGAGAAAACCGGTTCTGGAGAAAACCGCGCATTTCTTTGAACTTCAGCTGATGGCTTGGTAGAAAATGGCGCTGGTTGAATGAGCTGAACAGGTTCAAGTGGGGGAGGGGAGAATAAATCTTTGCTGAGGGGGGAGGGAGCGAAGGTCTCCTAAATTAGAAAATACAATTAATTATCTTTATTTCCAGTACATTGATTCAAAATTGATACTTTATTACTTAGACACCATTTTCATGTCTCTTCTTGTTACCAAGCAAGATAAAAAAGAAAAACTAAATATAATTATACATTTTTAAATATATATATTGAGGTAATGTAAAGGTTAAAACCACAATTATTACAGAGTAGACCCACAGAACAGCAATTATAAATAACCACAAAGTATTCAGACAACAATATGGTTCACACACTTTTGTTGTTAATTTATTAATGTTCTTAAATATAAAGTAGACATTTAATCAATGATAGTTAAAGGGCTTGTACGCGTTATTTTCTTTCATTTATAGAGTGTTAAGTCGAATTCACTATGATACTCATAAACACGTTGTTAGCTTAGTATGAATTAATAAGATATCCATGTTTTTGTCGTATTTCTTGCTTCAGGATTACAATACAGTGGTAGGCGATTATATCAATACAATGAAGACGACTTTTTTATTCAAGTTTTGATTGTTAACAAGCTTTTTCGATTTGCAAGTTTACAGCAATCAAAGAGAAGCTTTTTAATTGAGAGCTTCTCTTGATTTCTATGTTTATATATATCCATGCTGTTTAACAGCTTGATTTAAATCAATATTGAAATCAAAAGCCGTCTTCTTTATATTGAAATAATCGCTTACCACTGCAGAAGAGAAATTATAAAATTACCTAATTTTTTAAGCCATAAAAACGACCATATCTTTTCATTATTGGTTAGATTGAGGTTTGAGGGGTACCGTTGTGAATCGGTTATGTTTCTCTTTAAATGAAGGGTCAATATTCAGATTATGACGACAATCCCTTTCAAACGAACTGGAACAATACGTGAGAATGCAGGAAGAAAACTGGTGAAAATACATAAAATCCAACCTGCTCTATAGTATGGGGAGAAAACGCTTGAGGAGTTGGAGACTTTAGATTCCCAGGAATATTTTCCTAAATATAGAATATTAGGAATATTTTTCTAAATATAGAATATTAGGAATATTTTCCTAAATATAGAATATTAGGAATGTTTTCCAAAATATAGAATATTAGGAATATTTTCCTTAATATATAATATTAGGAACATTTTCCAAAATATAGAATATTAGAAATATATTCCTAAATATAGAATATTAGGAGTTTTTTCGTAAATATAGAATATTAGGAATATTTTCCTAAATTTAGAATATTAATAATATTTTCCTTAAAAATAGAGTATTAGGAACATTTTCCAAAATATGGAATATTAGGAATATTTTCCTAAATATAGAATACTAGGAATATTTTTCCTAAATATAGAATATTTGAAATATGTTTTCCAAAATATAGAATATTAGGAATATTTTCCTAAATATAGAATATTAGAAATATTTTCCTTAATATAGAATATTAGGAATATTTTCCTAAATATAGAATATTAGGAATATTTTCCTTAATATAGAATATTAGGAATATTTTCCAAAATATAGAATATTAGGAATATTTTCCTTAATATAGAATATTAGGAATATTTTCCTAAATAAAAGATTTCGGACTGTGCTGTAATTTGACATCAATATAATGAATATTTAAATTTATCTTTTAAAGAAGAAGTAAATTAAATTTCGTTAATGCATAATTTCGTTAATGCATGATTTCGTTAATGCATGATTTCGTTAATGCATGATTTCGTTAATGCATGATTTCGTTAATGCATGATTTCGTTAATGCATGATTTCGTTAATGCATGATTTCGTTAATGCATGATTTCGTTAATGCATGATTTCGTTAATGCATGATTTCGTTAATGCATGATTTCGTTAATGCATGATTTCGTTAATGCATGATTTCGTTAATGCATGATTTCGTTAATGCATGATTTCGTTAATGCATGATTTCGTTAATGCATGATTTCGTTAATGCATGATTTCGTTAATGCATGATTTCGTTAATGCATGATTTCGTTAATGCATGATTTCGTTAATGCATGATTTCGTTAATGCATGATTTCGTTAATGCATGATTTCGTTAATGCATGATTTCGTTAATGCATGATTTCGTTAATGCATGATTTCGTTAATGCATGATTTCGTTAATGCATGATTTTTGAAAATAATCTTTTAGAAACGTAAGCTGAGTAATGCAGACTAGTATTGTATAAAGGGCATGAAACATTTTCTTTTTATAAAAAAGTTTCAGATCACTATTTTTTTAAACTCTACTAAAGTTTCTTTTACTAGGTTAATAGCCCAATTTTTAACGGCCAGCTCAAAGAAAAAAAATTAGACCGATAAATAGTTTGGGTGCTAGGGAGGGTGAAAAAAATGCCTATAAAAGGGTAAAAAATGAAATTTTTTGTTTTTGTTTTAAACAAATATTAAAGTGTGACACATGTTTCTAAATTTATTTTTCAAAGGTTTCTCAAAAATATAGTTTTTAAATCTGTAGCGTTAGTCACAACAAAGCTATGAGCTATTTTAGATCTTTTTTTCACAGACCGGACTTTTTTCCGCCCTTTATCCTACTCTATAAATTAAAAAAAAATATTTTTTAACATAAATTCCTTTAAATTACTTTTCATTAAAAGTCACAAAATTTCACGGTGATAGTGTCAAAAATGAGAGTGCTAGGACAAAAAAAAACTACTGGGAGGGGCACCAAACGCCCCCCCCCCTCCAGCCCGTGTAGGGTTAAATATATAATTCTTGAAATATTTCTACAAAGATATCTTTGATGTAGTCCAAACCCAAAATTGTACTTTAATGATTTAACATAATTACAAAGGTAGGAATTATAGAAATAAATTTAAATGTTTTAAATGATTGGATTTTACAGAAAGTACCAATACCAGTCCATTTGTGAATCTTTTGATTCTTATTATACCCTTTTATGCAGAAACTACGAGAAAAAAGCATAAAGAAAAATAAAATCACAACAAATTTTAATGAGAATTTGAAAAGAGGATTTAGAGCTAGATAAGAATACATAATATGATGATAAAAGAATAAGGAAAATGCTTAAGTACGGATGATATTCAAATGAAAATGATAGTACTAACGATGATGTGAATGTTGATATGAATAGTGGTGTGAATAATGTTAATAATTATATGACTGATGATTTAAATGGTGACGTGAATGATGATGTGAATGATGATATGAATGATGATATGAATGATGATATGAATGATGACGTGAATGATGATATGAATAATGATTTGAATGATGATGTTACTGCTGATATAAATGATGATTTGAAAGATAAAGTGAACAATGATAAGAATGATGATGCAAATAATGATGATGTAAATGATAATGTGAATGATGAATTGAATGATAAAATGAATAATGATGTGAATGATTAAATGGATGATGAAATTAATGATAATGCGAATAGTAGTATTAATTATGTTATGCATGATGAAATGAATGATGATGTGAATGATGATGTGAATGCTGATTTAAAGGATAATCCAAAGATTGACACTGACCTTAAACTCTTGGCTGATCTCCTGTTCTAAATCTGTTATAGCAGAATATATTTGATCCTTGAGTCCAGTTTGTTGAATCTCAAGACCATGTACATCATGGACTCCAAGATCCTACAGGAAAAATATAGTAATCCAGCTCACATAATCTAAAACTTTCCAGTCATCTTTGTTTATGTTCTAGCTTCACGACCAAAAACTTTATTTCTCTGCAGTATTACAATTGTATTACTTTACAATTCTTCAGAATTTATTTGCTCTTCATTGTTTTTCTTTTCCTTTGTTGTTGCAAAAAGACCAGGATCAAAGAAGTATTCAATTGTTAAATTTAATTTTCAAAAACTTGTCAAAACTTTTAAATTCGCTCTCATGCACTTCGGAAATCATGCAAGGTTAGATATAGTAAAACATTTACTGCGGGTTAAATGTTTATTTTTAGATAGATAGATAGATAGATAGATAGTTAGATAGATAGATAGATAGATAGATAGATAGATATATATCAAAACTAAAAACGTGCAGGGTCAATTACAGTCCAGCGAGTACAGTACAATAAAATATAAACCGGTTCTTGCAATTTTATAAATTATATTCTTCTTTACTATTATACCAAATGGAAAATTTGAGGAGTTAAATTTATCTTATTTATTTTAGACATTCAACTTCTAGTGAGCTCATGCATTTTTCTTTCAAATATAGACTTAAGGTTTCAGAATGCATGGATAAGTCAGATTTTTCACACGAAAATTTTTATTTGTTATTAACTCCTCTAAAACCAAATCAAAACAGATATTGGAATTTTTAGGACAAAATGTATAATTTTGATTGCTTGAAGATAATATAAATCTTTAAAAAATGAACTTTCTGAATAATCTGTCTGTTTCTTTAGGGTTTAAAGCTGTTAAAGACAAGCATATCAATTTTAATGAACATTCAATATCAAAAAATAATTAAAAAATAGAAAAGAAAAATGAACTGATTTCATTTTAATGTTTGGTCTAGACTGAAGATATTGTAATATTATGAATGATTAGATGAATATTAGATTGGTCTTGATTAAATTGTTCAGATGGAATTGGATGAAGGACGTGAGGGGGGAGGGGGAGAAGGAAAATTGCAAATTAGGTTTGCTACGAGATTGCAAATCTGCTAAATTGCAAAATATATTGTATACAGATACACAGTACACTGTACAGATAATTACGGTTTCATGCTAATCACGATCTATCTATCTATCTATCTATCTATCTATCTATCTATCTATCTATCTATCTATCTATCTATCTATCTATCTATCTATCTATATATCTATCTATCTATCTGTCCATCTATCTTTATCTACCTGGTTTTGGAATGACAAGGATTTGTTGGAGAGAGCAGTTTTGGATGACATCTCCCTGGAACTAGTTTGGGATGATTTAATTTCCATGGATGACGAAGAAGTCTGCTGAAAGGACTTCTGGGATGACATCTGGGAGGACATAGATGTCATCTTGGAGCTAGACATGGATGAGGAAGACATCTTGCTCATGGATGATATCTCGTTGAAGGATGACATTTGCTTGTCGGATGAAACCTCATTGATGGATGACATCTGTTTTTCGGATGACATCTTGTTGAGAGATGACTTCTGCTGAAATGATTGATTTGATGTCTGATCGAATGAAATCGATTGATTTGTTGATTGATTTGAGAATGTCAGACTTGTTCCAGATTTCTAAAAATTTTAATAGATTATCATGCAATTATTAAAATGTTATTTTCACCAGTATTCAATAATTGAAACGTTTACATCATGATTATTTTATTTACGCATTCTAAAAAGGGTGGTTCAAAAAGATACATGCAAGAATTAGGATTGACAAAAATTAACATAAAAAATCATGCAATTTGTTGCAAATTGTTGAAAAAATTGACTTACAAAATTTGTTCTATAATGAAATTTTTTTTTGCATAATTTCTTAAGTAAAACCAAATAATATTTTTTTGCGGATTTTTTTCATAACATTTTCTTTATCAATAGAAATGAAAAGCTTTGAATATAATATAATACATATATATTTTCTAATGATTTCTGAATATTTTTTTTATCAATGTAACAACACACATTTTAGCACATGATTCAATTTTTTCAATGTTTTTCCAGCTAAAACATGAACCCTACAAACAGTTTTTATTTCTCTAATCCCTGTATTTTTACTCCCCCTGTATGTGGATACTGTTTAGTAAGATATCCATGTATGGATCTGCCCTGGGCAGGAGTAATCTTTCAAATCCAAGTTTTTATAATTCCTGTGGCAGAGCCCCCTAGCTGTATATCAGTCACTCAGTGTGAGAAAATTATGCAGGGACAAATTTAATGTTTTTTTCTGGGTTTTATCTTTTTCAAGTTTTAATTTTACAACCACCTTAAGCAATAAAACTGAAGAACTGTAGAATGAGGGAATTAAATTAATTAAAACATTTTATAGAAAAACAGTTAATAGATGGACATTTTCTGGAATGCCATTTTATGGGAAAACATTTCATGGAAAGACATTTCATAAATTGGCATTTTATGGAAAGACATTTAATGGAAAGCCATTTAATGGAAAGACATTTCATGGAAAGAATTCATTGAAAGACATTTCGTGGAAAGACATGTCATAAATGGATATTTTATTTTAATAAATGTTTTTCCAATGAAATGTCCTATCTAAGAAATGTCCTTTAGTTTTTTTTTTATCTAAAAAATGCTTAAATCATAAAAAATTACCTCAGACTTAAACTCTCCAGAGACTCTCTTCTTGATTGCAGCATCTAGACCTAGAGGCATCACCTTCACTGCTCCAGGTAGATCCTTCCCACGCACCTAGATATAGGGGTTCATTAAACCTAGATATAGGGGTTTATTAAACCTAAATATAGGGATTTATTAAATCTAGATATAGGGGTTTATTAAACCTAGATATAGGGGTTTATTAAACCTAGATATAGGGGTAAATTAAACCTAGATATAAAGGTTTATTAAACCTAGATATAGGGGTTTAGCTACGCTCAAGTTAATAAACACCTGTTTAAATAATTACTTTATTACTACTTTAAAATACTGAAATTTATGCAAAAGTAAAAGATAGATAGATGACGTGGCCGGAAACTGCTCAACTTGCCGCGTCTTGATATTCGGTTTTAAACTCCTCCAGAACTTCGTCTTCCGCCACTACGCCGCCACAGGGGTTTATTAAACCTAGATATAGGGGTTTATTAAACCTAGATATATAGGTTTATTAAATCTATATATAGGGGTTTATTAAACCTAGATATAAAGCACTAAATCTAGATATAGGGGTTTATTAAATCTAGATATAGGGGTTTATTAAACCTAGATATAGGGGTTTATTAAACTTAGATATATAGGTTTATTAAACCTAGATATAGGGGTTTATTAAACCTAGATATAGGGGTTTATTAAACCTAGAAATAGGGGGTTATTAAACCTAGATATAGTGGTTTAATAAACCTAGATATAAAGGTTTATTAAGCCTAGATATAGGAGTTTATTAAACCTAGATATAGGAGTTTATTAAATCTAGATATAAGGGGTTATTAAGCCTGGAAATAGGGGTTTAGTAAACCCAGATATAAGGGTTTATTAAGCTTGGATATAGGGGTTTATTAATCCTAGATATAAGGGTTTATTAAGCCTGGATATAGGGGTTTATTAAACCTAGATATATGAGTTTAGTAAGCCTGGAAATAGAGGTTTATTAAACCTAGATATCGGAGTTTATTAAGCCTGGATATAGGGGTTTATTAAACCTAGATATAGGAGTTTATTAAGCCTGGATATAGGGGTTTATTAAACTATCGGAGTTTATTAAGCCTGGATATAGGGGTTTATTAAACCTAGATATAGGAGTTTATTAAGCCTGGATATAGGGGTTTATTAAACCTAGATATAGGAGTTTATTAAGCCTGGATATAGGGGTTTATTAAACTTAGATATAAAAGTTTATTAAAATTAAATATAAAGGTTTATTATATTTAGATATAGGGGTTTATTAAAACTAGATATAGAGGTTCATAAAACCTAAATAGTAGGTTTTTAAATGGAATGAATGTACTCTATATATTTGTATGATAAATGAAATATTGTGAGTTTATTGTTCCATGTGTTGGACTTCACATTAATTAATTATCATAATAAATAGATGGTAAGATAGATATATAAACAGATGAATAGATAGATGAACTCACAGATGGATAGACATTAATATAAATAGATAGATGAATATATATATAGATGTATATATTAGATAGATAGATAGATAGATAGATGTATAGATATAAATATGGATAGACAAATAGATAAGTAGATACATAAAAATAAACAGATATATATGTAGAAATATATATAGATTGATAGACAGATAGATATATAGATAGATTGATAGAGAAATGGATTGTATAATTATTTACTATAGTTTTTCAATATTTCATATTGGTGTAATTATATAATTAATTTTCTTCACTATAATTTAGTTTTGCGTATTTTCACACACACAAATTCAGGTAGTCATTGTATTTACTCCCCCCTCTTCTGTTAATGGTTTTTATTTTTTGCCCCTTATTTTGTTATTTATAAGTCTATTACTCTATTTCTCCTGGCTTTTTAACTCTTTATGGTTCTCTACCTCTAAATGGTTCCTAACAAATGGTTGCCTACCTCTAATTGGTTCTCTACCTCTAAATGGTTCCCTACTTCTAAATGGTTGCCTAACTCTAAATGTTTCTCTACCTTTAAATTGTTCCCTACCTCTAATTGGTTCTCTACCATTCTAAATGGTTCCCTACCTCTAAATGGTTCCCTACCTCTAAATGGTTCTCTACCTCCTAATGATTCCCTACCTCTAAATAGTTCCCTACCTCTGAATGGTCCCTACGTCTAAATGGGTTCTTTATTTTTAAATGGTTCCCTACCTCTAAATGGTTCCCGACATCTAAATGGTTCCCTACCTCTAAATGGTTTCCTACCTCTAAATGCTTCTCTACCTCTAAATGGTTCCCTACCTCTAAATGGTTCCCTAACTCTAAATAGTTCCCTACCTCTGAATGGTCCCTACGTCTAAATGGGTTCTTTATTTTTAAATGGTTCCCTACCTCTAAATGGTTCCCGACATCTAAATGGTTCCCTACCTCTAAATGGTTTCCTACCTCTAAATGCTTCTCTACCTCTAAATGGTTCCCTACCTCTAAATGGTTCCCTAACTCTAAATAGTTCCCTACCTCTGAATGGTCCCTACGTCTAAATGGGTTCTTTATTTTTAAATGGTTCCCTACCTCTAAATGGTTCCCGACATCTAAATGGTTCCCTACCTCTAAATGCTTCTCTACCTCTGAATGGTTCCCTACCTCTAAATGGTTCCCTCTACCCTCTAGCGGCATGCTCTTCAACTATATCCGTGTAACCATAGTTCAGTCCTTTGAAAACCTCGGCGTGACTAGAAACTGTGACCGTGTTTAAAGTGAAATATAAAAAGTGGAGACAAAACACTTGTTTTCCAATAAACTAGGTTTCTGTTTAACCAAGGTAATGAAACAAATCATTTAAAATAAAAATATTACGAAGAATTGATTATTTTATCTAACCTTAAAATTAAATATAAATCAAAATGTTGTGTTTTAACAAAAGTTCTATTTTTTGCATTATTATTCATGAAAATGAAATATTTATACGGTTTTCCCTACTCAGTACTGTAAGGTTTAATTATTCCGTAGAAAAACGTTTAAAAATTAAAAACATTACTCATTTGATAATCTAGCTATAAAGTTAAAATATCAATATTAATTTTGTTTATTTTGAAGATTTAATACAACATATTTGCCCACCCCTTCCTCGTTTATTCCATCTCACTCTTTGGCTTATTCAACAATTCTNAGATATGAATTAGAAACAGTCTCTTCAACATGGAGGATATGCCAATTCCTCTTTTCTACTTTAAATATTCAATTATCCTCTTCTTCTTTCTTGCATTTTCTTTCTTCTTCCTTCTTTTCTTGTTCTCCTACCTTGATTTTCTTCCTTTTTCCTTCTTTTTTTATTCTCCTACCTTGATTTTCTTCCTTCTTTTCTTGTTCTCCTACCTTGATTTTCTTCCTTTTTTCCTTCTTTTTTTATTCTCCTACCTTGATTTTCTTCCTTCTTTTCTTATTCTCCTACCTTGATTTTCTTCCTTCTTCCTTCTTTTCTTATTCTCCTAGCTTGATTTTCTTCCTTCTTCCTTCTTTTCTTATTCTCCTACCTTCATTTACTTCCTTTTTCCTTCTTTATTTTCTCTTTTCCTCCTTATATTTTGTTCTCCATTTTTTCTTTTTCCTTCCTTTCTCTTGAAATATTTCAAATTCACGTTTCTTATTATACTTATTCCATTTCTTCTTTATACTTTTATTCAGAACCTCTGATTTGTTTTACTTCTCTCTATTATGCCTTTCCCCCCTCTTTCTATGTCCTTGAGCTTTATTCATCTTATCCTTTCTATCCTATCTTTCCTTTTCTTTCATTACAAAACATATTTACTAAATAAATTGCTGATACATTTTTACCCTTCCTTCCTTCCTTCCACCTAATTTCTTTACATTTTAAAACAATTTTTAGTACTGTCCCATCCTTTTCTATTATCTTCCCTTTAAACTCCCATCTCCAAAGTTTTCCTCTTCATGACATAATATTGTGGGACTCCATAAAAATGCTTATCTTACAGCTTTGAACAAACGCGAGTACACTTTATAATCAAAAGTCCAACAATCTGCCGAAGTTTTTGACAAGTTTGCGCCTTACACCTACTCCTCATCCTCCTTCTGTACCATTCATGAATCATGACTGACTCATCAGTTGTCATTCTAATTCTATACTTTGCTACTCTGGGTGTTCGTTTGTTTGTATCCAATAAACGTCAAAACGGCCGAACCGATCAGGCCCAATTTTTTGTGGGACCTCTCGTAACCCCAGGGAAGATGTATGGACGATCGAATTTTCAAAAATTTGCCTATAACAAAATTCGATTTTTGAAAATTTTGAAAATCCACAATTTTTTTTTATAAAATCCGCGAAATTTTTTGTTTTTGTTTTACAATGTATACAATTAGAGAACAAGTTCATAATTGAAAAAAGATGGGCATATACTATGTGCTTGTTTGTCTGATTCTTTATTTCCAAGAAACGTCAAAATGGCTGAACCGATCAGGCCCAAATTTTCAAAATCAACAAATAAAAACCGCTAAACTTTTTGGTTATTGTTTAATAATCTGAGAAGAGAAAATGCCCCAAAAAGCAACTGCCAACAATCAAAGATGTGCGCAAAGCGGCCTTGAAGCCTATTTTTATAGACAAGATGTGAATGGCATTTATTTTTGGCATGTTCGATTAACAAATTTACACAATATCATCAATTACGACTTGATTGTTGATGGACAGACTAAGATTGCTGATAAAGAATGCCATATCATTACGATTGTACACTGGAGAGTCACTTTAAAATTACGTCTTGCAGTCCCTTTAAACAAAATTACGTCTCGTAGTCCCTGTACAGAAAATTACGTCTTGTAGCCCGTTTAAAGAAAATTACGTCTTGTAGTCCCTATAAAAAAAGCTACGTCATGTAGTCCCTTTAAACAAAATTACGTCTTGCAAGAATACAATGAATGACGGCTAATTATAAACAATACATTCGTAATTTTGCCAGACTCGGAATCCTAAAACAATGAAAACCAGTGCTATTACAGAGTAGTTGGGGAAAGGGGGGGGTNATAGATAGATAGATAGATAGATAGATAGATAGATAGATAGATAGATAGATAGATAGATAGATAGATAGATAGATAGATAGATAGATAGATAGATAGATAGATAGATAGATAGATAGATAGATAGATAGATAGATAGATAGATAGATAGATAGATAGATAGATAGATAGATAGATAGATAGATAGATAGATAGATAGATAGATAGATAGATAGATAGATAGATAGATAGATAGATAGATAGATAGATAGATAGATAGATAGATAGATAGATAGATAGATAGATAGATAGATAGATAGATAGATAGATATATAGATAGATAGATAGATAGATAGATAGATAGATAGATAGATAGATAGATAGAAAGATAGAACTGAAAAATAAAACATATCGAATTACGATTTAAAAGACAATTTTAATGATCAGAGAAACATTTAGAAGTAACAGATGAAAATATATGGAAATTAACAACATTGATTATAAATTTACATTTATAGGAGTGTAACTGTAAACTGTAGTTATCCTCCATTTTTTATTATGGCATGCCTGATTCACAACTGTACATTTAAACCTCTAGCTGAGTAACAATGAGGAAGTAATCGTCTTGAAAATACTAGTTTTCTGACAATTTTCATCGTTGTCTCTGTTACATAAATCCAAAAGTCACATTCATGAAGATATCAAAATTAAGAAGATTCAATTTTTAGCCCATTTTATATCTAAAATGAATCAGTTGTCTTAAATCTTCTAAAAATTCAATATTTTATTAAATCATATTCATATACTATTGGAAAAAAGCACCGTTGTGAATCGTACATGAATTGTACATGAATCTTACATGAATCGTACATGAATTGTACATGAATCAAATATTAATTATATATCAATCTCACATGAATCGTACATGAATCGTACATTAATTGTACATGAATTTTACATGAATCGTACATGAATCGTACATAATTCTTACATGAATCGTATATGAATCGTACATCAATTGTACATGAATCTTACATGAATCGTACATGAATGATGTCTTACATGAATCGCACATGTATCTTACATGAATCTTACATGAATCTTACATGAATCTTACATGAATCGTACATAAATGATGAATCTTACATAAATCGTACATGAATCGTACATGAATCGTACATGAATCGTACATGAATTGGACATGAATCGTACATGAATCGTACATGAATCGTACATGAATCGTACATGAATCTTACATGCCAGTCTATTAATGGAGGATCTGTTAAATTAAGTCATTATATTTAAACACTAATCATTTGACGTGATGCTGAAGTGTTGATGTCAAAGCAATAAAACATAGGACTTAAGTTTATGAGTTTTTTAAATGTTTAAACAGTTAATAACGATAAGTTTTCCAATTTTGCAAACTAAATCATAACATTGTTTTATCATTAAAAGCAATATTTTTTGGACTATTTAGTGATTTTCTAAGATGGCAACGCCTGACTTACAAAGCGGTATATAGTCGATCTCCGCTAAACCCACGCACAGAATTCTTAACCTAATACAAAATGTGGAAGATATCTTATTCCCGACAAGACCCGAGAGCGTTCTTTTCTTCTTAAAGAGCTACGTCTCAGCCATGTAAAAGAGCGCACCTCTTTCTTAAGCAAACCTCGTCTAAATGTTACGATTTCAACTCGTTTTTCGCCGCATCTCATATTTTGTCTGGGTATCAAATTCACATCCCCCCATGTGACCCCCCACGTAGTTTTGAATTGAGCAGCTTGGAGCAACAGCTTGACAGCTTGACAGTGAAATTTGAACCCAGAAGAAAGCCCGTTTGTTTCGACGCTTTTTGAAGCATTTTCTGCGCAGAAAAAGGTCACCAAAGACTGCATATTTCAGCGCCTTTTAAAAGCAATCTCTGCGCCGAAAAGAGCGAAAAAAACTGCTAGTTTTTATGCTGCAACAAACGCTAGTTACAGCGTCAAAAATTCTTTTGAAATAAAAAAACCTTAATTTTGACATATTTCAACCATTTTGAGTCGCTATTAAAGACCCAAGTTAAGAAACGCACCAAAAAAGGTTGAAACATGGCAAAAAAAATGCTTTCTTAATGCCTTAGAAAACAATAGATGGAGAAAAATAATTTGATTAATAAATGTATTTTCAAACACAAAAAAATCAAACTAAATAATGAAGCTGATAAAAACATGTTAAAAAAAATGTATATATTGTGCTACATTTACAGATAAACATTACTATATGATGGTGAATATAATAATTGTATGACATTGGTTATTGTGAACGTAAATATTCAAACACAAATTTAAACTCGATATAAATTAATTTTCACTTGGTTTCTTTTGTTACAAAATCTTGCTTCTGATTTCTGGAAGAATTTGAAATTGGTGAACTGTTTTAAAATCTTCTGAAGATTTCTTTTCTAATCACTGCACACATACATGATTCAGCCTGCTTATAAAAAGTCTCCTCCATTAAGTAATTGACAAAATTCTCATCGATTTCTGCTTCTAAATGACAGTGTGAACACTTAACAGTAGTATTTCATAGATGGCCATATTATTTTAACTTCATTCTGTATTCTGATTACAAATTTCTCAGTTATATCTGAAAAAAAATAGATGAAAAAAAAGGAAAGCATGAATGGATGAAAGAAAAGGAAGAAAAGTATTTAGAAGAGGAAAGAAGAACTGAACATTAACTTTTTAGAAAAAATGTTGAAAAAATAGTTTTATTAATTAACGAAAAATTTTATTGAACATAGTATTCGACTAAACAAACGATTTTATTAAATGCCGACGTTCAGTTTAAAAACTAACGTAATAAATCGTAATTTTGAAAACAAACTAATTCAATTTTTTTGGAATGATTAAAAAGATACATTCATCAAAAAGGCTTTTAAAGGGACTGTACAAGTAAATTCAAGTGACCCTGATCTGATAAATAATGTGGACTGTTATTTTCAAGTTAAAATTCACACAATTTCCCAGTATTTTTTCTGCGTCAAGAAATCCGCAAGTCACTTAAAGAGAAACAATAATTGAAAATAATCAACTTTTCAAAGAGGATTTAATTAAAAGAGTCGCTTGAAATTATGTCTACATTACCTTTAAATAAATAAATAAATATTTCAAGCCAAGTTTACTTTGAAATTCACGAAAAGAAGCAAATGCATTCCACCATTTAAAATTTTTAAATTAAAGAAATTTTCCAAGAAATTTAGCAACTTAAGAAAATCTTTGCAGTATGAAGTTTTCCAAGAAATTAGTCCACCATTTCAATTAAAAGAAAATAGCATTAGCTATTTTAATTATTTATAAATTTTCCATATTTCATTTGAAAAATGTCAGCTGACCTGGAAAGGTTATGAGAGGAATCTCTCGATCTTCCTGGCCCTGGCGACCTTCAGCATCAGCTTGTCCTTCTCTGACAACTCATGATCCCACAGAGGATAGGGCTGATGTCCTAGAGAGACTTGCAGTCCTGAATAATCTTCTCAACTGCTTAGCAACTCCGTAGTGTTAATGTTCATGCATACATTGGGGTAGATTTCACTCTCGGAACATCTGAACAATAATCATTTTAAAATCAAAGAATACTTAAACACGAAACATAATTTCTAAGCTTATTTTCTTTTCTAACAATTTATCAAATTTAGACCAAAGCAAAAAACCACATAACACGAACCTTCCTGGCCCTGGCGACCTTCAGCATCAGCTTGTCCTCCTCAGACAACTCATGACCCCACAGAGGATAGCGATGAAGTCCTAGAGAGACTTGCAGTCCTGAATAATCTTCTCAACTGCTTAGAAACTCCGTAGTGTTAATGTTCATGCATACATTGGGGTAGATTTCACTCTCGGAACATCTGAACAATAATCATTTTAAAATCAAAGACTACTTAAACATAAAACATAATTTCTAAGATTATTTTCTTTTCTAACAATTTATATCAAATTTAGACCAAAGCAAAAAACCAGATAAAACGAATCTTGAACATTTGTTTTTTATCATTAATCATTTTTCATTCTTTTAGGATTAAGACAGGTATATTCCTAGAGAACGATTTTTAGACCCCCCCCCCTCCAGGGGGGCCTAAGGGCAGGGTCCAAAAATCGTTCACTAGGACGGACCCTTAATATATTTGGGGTCCATCCTAGATTATGATTTTTGCCCCCCCCCCCCCCCGATAGGAAATTACTGATCTTTGAAACCTTAAAACTGCTTGAAAATCTTGGAAGTTTTGTATAAAATATATTCTGTTATACCTTGTGTTACTGCTTTCTCCATTTAATTTCGTTCAAATTAACTTCTCCATTTCTTAAACTCTTCAACAGGAACTGGAGCGAATTTTCAATTTTCTTCAGCTCTGTATGGAAGTTGAAAGAATATGAATTTCTGTGTAAGCTAACATTTCAAGTTTGAATTACACTGGTGCAAAGTTACCAACTACCAGTACCACTTAAGTGGAGTGGACTAATGACTGGTCACTGGACTCACCTGCCGCGCTGACCCGGTGCCTGCTGGGAAAAGTAGCGTACCGGCATGGCCACAAGGTTTTCTTGGAAATTTCAGGGGTATTCATAGTTTTTTTTAAATTCAGAAAAAATATTTTTCTATTATCTTTAATTAAGTGAATCATGTTTTAAACAATTTTACACAAAATATTTTTGATTAAAAAAATATTCAACATGTTGTCTCCCCCTGTCATCATGGGAAAGGTGGCGGGGAAGGGGGAAATGACATAAATTAGTTACTATTCCGCGAGAAATCTTGCGTCTGCGCAGTCGGTCTGTAAACAGTTCCTAAACTAGTTCTTTCACAATACATTCCGTACAGATCTTCAGGGGGAACTCAGAAATACACAGGGGCAAAAAACAGACTTTCTATACGCAGCATGGCTCGCGTAACAAAACTGTTAAAAGAATTTTCGACTTTTGTTAATCAGGCGGAAAACAAAGAAAACTTTGATAGAACAGTATTCAAAACAAAAATAATTTTTTTTTTTTTTTTGCAGGTTCCCCAATTCGAGGAGTACAATCTAGGGCTTCTTACATAGAAACTTTCCCATCCTGTGATGTGAGTGAATCTTTAATCCCCCAGTTGGATGTATCAGATCCCTCCTCAAAGTCCAAACCCATCTTTCATGGATCCAACAAATCTACCACTGAATCTAACCTAGCCCCCTCCTCCAGTTCCTACAGTATGTTTGGATATTGTACTTCTGACAAGTGTAATCTTAACCCAAAAAGAACAAGAGCAAAAGTGGGTGATTTCTATGCCTGCTTTGTCTCAAAAGATTCCAGCACGAAAGGATTTGATTTAGTACACGCACATTCGAGAACTAACCTTTGTTTAATAGACAGTGAAAATATATATAAATGTAAAATGTCCTTATAAACATGTATATTTAGTATATACACATATCTTTAAACCAATAATGCTTTTGGTTATAATTTTACAAAATAAACATTTAGATCTTAAAAGTATTGAAAACAAATAAAGAATTATTACCTAAGACCTAAGATTACTATTTATAATAATAGAACCAAATGAAATCAGGACCAAAAAAAGAAATATCACCGGTTAAGTTAACGGGACCAAAAAAAGAAATTTCACCGATTAAGTTAACGGGACCAAAAAACAGGCTCAAAACCCACTTGACGTATCAATTAACAAATTCCAAAGTTTTACAAAAATTTCTGGGTTTCACTTCAGAGAAAAGTCAAATTACACATATTAAGAATTTTGAAGATTATTCAATTTTAAAAATATTACTTTTCAATATTTTACATTTTATGAGTAAAAGTTTTCAATAGTTTTGTTTATCAATATTGTCAATATTGTCTTGTGTATCAAGTTTACACATTCTTCACAAACTTCTTGAATATTTAAACTAAACTAAAATCCTAAAATATGCTTCAAAAAATATAAAAAACATCATATTCTGAATATCTACATGATATAAAAAAATCGGAAAAATTCGATATTTAATGAGTTAAAAATTGGAATTGAGTATTTGCTATAATCTCTAACTTTTTTTTCCCTTTATTGTTGCAATCTGACGGTGTAAACCTTTGATATTCCAAACTTTGGCTACTTAATCTATCATAATTGGTCTACAGAATTGGATTGCAAAATATCAGAGTTTGTGGCAAAAAATCAGTTTCCTTTACTAGTTAAAATGTGAAGACTAAATTACTTTTCACAAGAAAAGTGGTTTATTTTTAGTTGAACTAGGTTTAAATGTTCATTAAATTTGGTTCTTGGATTATGTTATTTATCGGCGCGTACTATATGCAAAATGAAGAATGTGTTTAAACAATAAAACAAAAATGTTGGTTCCTTTCAAGAACCGGTCCTAATTTTATGAATTTAGCTAGTTTTCAGAGTGTTTTATGCTAATTCTAACAAAGATGGTTAATATTTCAGACCCCGTCCAGAACCCACAGTTTGAACACAAATATAAGATTTATTCCAAATGTTAAGGGTAGGGATTAAGTTAAAGATGTTCATGTCCATTTAATAATAATAAAAACTATGTAAAAAGCAACTATTTTCTTTTCGAATATTTATAATAAATTGTTGTTGATATGTATGTAAACGTGACCACTAGATTTTTGCGACAAAAAGAAGAAATTAAATTAGAATATTTCAAAACGTTTAAAACTAGAGACACAACGAAATTCTTCAGATTTTTTCCCGAATAAAGATGGTAAGTGTAATGGTGTGAAGCCGCCATGCAACCCTTTGATTAAAAAGTCCCATAAAGATATATTTATTACCTGTGACATTTATCCTCCATTAGCCTAGGGTCCCCAGTCTAAAATAAAAAATAAAAAAATATTATTTGTAAATTATTTTCTTTGATATTTTTGGCTAATTGACTGCAAATTTAACAGAAGAAGAAGATCAAAGGAAACGAGTCTTTGCCAAAAACTCGTATTTTAAAATCCCTTTATCTTTGCAACCTAATGGTGCGGACCTTTGATATTGCATACTATGACTACTGTTGGATCAAATAATCTAAATTTGAAATATCAAAGGTTTACGTCATCATGTTGCAAAAATATAAGGATTAGAAAATTTGTACGACTTTGTAACCTTTTGGCTCCTCTAGTTTTGATTATACCCTCAAGTATGATATTAACAAAGGAATTGAGTCTTTGGAACCAAATCAAATATTTAAACCTCAATATCTTTAGAACTCGATGTTGTAAACCTTTGATATTTCAAACTCAGATCATAGTTTGAAAATATCTAAGGTCTGCAACATTTGGTTCCAAAGATATAGTGATTAGAAAATCAGAGTTTGTGGCAAATACTCAATTCCTTTATCTTAATAATGATTAAAAACATTTACTTTACTTGGACGTGAATCATTATCAATTTTGTATCTCAAATATATATTGTATAATGTAGGTAGACTGTGTTTCTAAATATCTAAATATATATGGAATCTCTGTTTTAGTGTTTGTTTGTATTCATGTCTGATCATAACTCATGAACCCTTGGATGAATTTGCATTAAAATTTTAATTAATTAATTTTGGGGAGCTCGATAGAAATACGGAACTTTTTTGAGCTAGGTTTATAAATTCTTAATCGAATAGGTTGACTTTTTCAATTTAGGTTTCCAGCCAAAACTGGGTTCCAAAGATATATCTACTGAGCTGGGAACTAGAATGGATAACCTTTAATCCCAACTACTTAATCCGAATATCCACTGTGGAAACTTTTAATTCTAGCCCTTAATCCACTCTTTTTCTCTTTCTTTCGATATCCGTACATTGTTTTCTCCAATGATAGTTCAGGAATATAGTTCGTAAATTTTATTGACCGATGACAGCCTTGAAAATAAATTCTATCCCATGAGAAAAATCCGCAATTTCTAACAAACAAAAGAATTTGTTGTCGGTCTTTTTGTCAATTTATCGGTGAAGAAAAATATTTAATAATACGTTTGAGATTCTTTTTTAACCAATTTTGACTTAAATTAAATGAAGGCCCTTCCAGTCAAGAAAACAATCAAATCTGGCGTTCCTACAATCAATTTGTTGATCTAAATATTTAATCTCAAAAATAATATAATCTCGAGACTAGATTAAGAGAAGATCAAGCATTAATACTGATTCTAAAGTTCCCAGCTCTGCACATATAATATAATCTACTACACAGTACATCAACTAAGGAGCCGAATGTTGTGTAAATAAGAATAGAACAAAAATAACAATAAGGAATAATTTGTAATTTAGAAAATATGAAACACAGGAAATCGACAAATTCCCTGTTTGTGTAACCCTTATATTTTGCAACCTGCTGACAAAAACCTTTCACATTTTAAACTATGAATTCTATCAGATAAAAAAAGAAAAAATTGGAAATATCTAAATATCTAAATATCAGATTGCAGATTGTTCAGTTTTTAATTTATTAATTGAAAAAATGTTTTTAAACGAACTATTTAGGTGCACGAAAATAAAGGGAGGGTGCGAGGGGACCATTATATAGGAAGGCACAGAAGAAATGAATTTTAATCTTGGTGGAAAATTTGAATATTAAACATTAAATAATTTCTTCCTTTTATATGAAAATAAGAGCAAAAAGTTTGAATAATTTGCAGTTTTGAAATATTTTAACTCAGAAATGATTTAGTTTCTGCTTCTTTTCTAGATTTATGCCAAGCTTGGGGTTTATTCTTGACATCATTCATTTGTTTGTAAACAGAGCAACAGCTTATACTGTATAATATTTATTGTTGTAGTTTTTATGGATTTAGTATTTGGGACTTGAGTTCCCAATGTGTTTAAAAATTGTATACAGCACGGAATACTGCTATTAGAATTCTTTTTAATGTACCTACAGATACGCATAGGTACTTGATTAAAAGTATTTCACAATGTTTACATGTACAAACTATGTTAGCTAGTAGATCACGTGTCTTTCTACCCGACCAGACCAAAGAGCGTTCTTTTCTTCTTAAAGAGCTACGTCTCGGCCCATTAAAAGAGCGCACCTCCTTCTTAAGCAAACATCGTCTAAATGTTACGATTTCAACTCGTTTTTCGCCGCATCTCATATTTTGTCTGGGTATCAAATTCACATCCCCCCCATGTGACCCCCCACGTAGTTTCTCATGGATTTTAAAAAAATTCCTTTTTAAAATTTTGTAGCGTCGAAATCAACGCATTCGACGGGGTCTGCGTAAAATCTACGCTATCTGGTCTAGTCGGGTATGAGACTATTGAAGCAAGTTCTAAGCTTTGTATTAGATTTCTTTCTAATTTATGTAAAAATGACCTTAACACAGTTCTTGGCAGAAATTTAATTTTTATTGCAAATGATTGTACTGTAAATCCTTCGGATCTTAGTAAAATGTTAGTTAAGAAACAAATGAAATATTTTGATGTCTCATTGGACTATTGGACCAAGAACAAATAATTTATATGTTGAAGGATTCGATGATTACGTAATAACTGAAATGATAAATATGTTATGCAATGAGTAATGATCAATGTCGTCTATTTGTGATAATTTTTCATATTTTTCTCTTTTCTTTTGGAAACCTGTATTTTCAAAAATTTGTTTATATAAGTATTTATATCTTTGTGTGTGAATAAATCTTTATATAAACCCAAAGAAGGGAGAGGGAGGGGAAGGGGGGAGAGGGGGGGTAATAAAGGGGAAAGACAGGGAAGAGGAGGTAGGTAGACACAAATCATCCTTTATCAACTATATTTGTTTCAAGAAGCAAAAAAGAACAAAGTTAAAACCAAAGCCCGAGGCGGTGCGACACTTCAAAGTCGTCGCGGTATAGATATTTGTGTGTAATAAACTCAATCAAGACATCGGAGAAATCGTCTTTTTTAATATTCAAAACATATTTCTGGAGAAAATATAATGGTAAACAACAAAATTATCCATTTCTATTTATAAAAAATTCAACAAAAAAATGCATGACTTAAAAATACAAAAAATCTTCTTTAAATGGGAAAAATTGGTTCAAAAGTTGAGGCTCATTTCATGGAACTAATCCAGAACTAAAAACATTTTTAATCAAGATAGCTTAATCTGAATATCCAATGTGAACACTTTTAAATTCCTTCCTAATCCGTTTTTTTTCTTTTTCTCTCCCTGCCAGTTTCCAACCACTGAGAGTTCACTCATTAAATTAAATGGCGCAAATAATTTTCCGGCTTCTCTTGATTGCCTGTTTTGGGTTCTCCCGACGCTTCTCGATTGGTTGATTATATAAACTTTTGCTGATACAAGCTTAAAATCAAATTGATCTTGAGATTATCAAAAAGAGAAGAAGAGTAAGCATTGATCTTGGTATCCACATTCTAAAGGTTTCAGCTCAGGTAAGTGAATCCACGTGAACCCCTGAACATCAATTATAAAAAATATTTTTATAATATTTAAGTTTGAAGTTTAAATATAAATTTTAAATGTTCAAAGGATTGAAAGAATCTTGTATTTTAAAAAGATTTCAAGATCATATGAGAAGAGGATTTAAAAATTGTATTGAGCAAATTCCAACAAAATCGCATCAAAGGAGAGACAAAATTATTCATTTTCATGATTCGCCAGAAATAGATGATATTTGCTTTCATTTACAACATGAAACACTTCGTTTTGATGAATCATAATTCTGATTCCTTTTTAAAATAAAGTTTCAAAAGAATAAATATGATAAAAAGATTTCGTTAAAACGTTGTAATCAATCCGTTATAAAACGGTTGTCTGCATGATCTGTGGAAATAACGAAAAACTGCGCTATGTTTATATCTCTCATGAGAATTCCCGCGTCGTAATCATAAAATCATAATTTAATCTAAGTAAATTATGAATATAAATAATAATATAAACTTGGGCAGCGCTAGTTTTTGTAATACTTTTGGACTTCGTAAACATATCCCGTGTACTGCATGTATATGTGACAACGTACTAATTGACCTTGAGCACAAAAATGAATACTGGCAGTTTTGTGGATATCAATGTTTTGCTATAAAGTATGATTTTATTTAGTTTCTTAAAATTCTCCATTTTTTAAAATCTCTTTAATTAATCAAAACCTACACAAATGTTCAGACCCCCCAAAAAGGAAACTAGGGAGTTTTGTTTAACGATACTCTTTTAAATTTCGTACTAAGGGATAGAATCAGTATAAAGTTCAATTCCCTCTGTACATTCAAACATCTCAATTTGTATTTCATATTCATATGTCAACACCCCCCCCCCCCAGGACCCCACACTCCAGTATAGATGGGCGTTTTCGGAATTCGTTTGTTCATCGTTTGTTTACGACATATTTTGATAGTTCTACTTTAGAAAAAAATGTCATAATTTTCGTTCCTTTTCCATCTTATTTCGTTCGTTTTCAATCTGAACGATCATTCAACTGAATCGTTTAGTAAAATCGATTGTTCAAGAAAATCGTTCGTTTCTAAAGTTTGTTAAAAAATCGTTTGTTCTGTAAAAAAAATTATTGTTTTTAAATTTTTTTTTCTAAATCGTTCGTCCAGTTCTTTTCAAAAAATCGTTCTGTGCAAAACCGATCTGTTTTTCAATAGTTTTTCAGAAACATTCGAACGATCATGAATGATTTTTAATCGGTCGTTTTAGTTGTTGGTTTTTAAAAATAGCTATTGTTTTTGTCGTTGTTGGTTTTCAAAAATAACTATCGTTTTTGATTTTCTCTGAACGATCTAAATTGTTCGTTCATGTAGAAAAATTCTAACAACCCTTAACGAAATTACACCGTTAATTTTCTCTTCGTTTGTTTTAAAAAACGATAGTTTTTAATTTTCCATAAACAATCCAAATTTTTCGTTCATTGTTCTTTAATATTTCTGAACAACACTTTCATTCCAAAAAAATTTCGCTCGTTTAGAAAAATGTTGTTCGTTCACAAAAACGATGGCCATCTCTACGTGACTCCACTACACGTAGAAAGGTTTAGGTAAAACTTTAAAGTTTTATTTATACCTCGATTGATCAGCTTGAAGTCGAAAAGAACATTGTAGGTTAAGATCTTTGAGAATAAAAAGTTTTAAAACGAAGGAAATATTTTATAGATGATTTATCATAACCTTTAGAACTGCACTGTATACAAATAGTTTTAGCAAAGTTTGAGCCAAGGACATTATAGAAGATAGGATAGATAACAGTTGTTTATCAAAGAATATTAGAAAACAGGACGAATAAAAGCTAGGTCTTTCAAAAGATACAAGCAAATAGTTTGAAGAACAGTGGTTTTACAATGTTATAAAACAGGATGAATAACAGTAGTTTATCCAAGGATATTAGAAAACAGGATGGAAAGCAGTGGTTTCTCTAATGTTTCTAGAAAACATGATGGAGCATAGGATATCAGAAAATAGGATGGATAATATAGCAGATTATCCAATGATACTCGAATATAGGATTAAGAACAATGGTTTTGGGATAATAGCAAATAGGATGGAGAACAGTGGATTATCCAAGGATATTGAAACTAGGATGGAGAATAATTTATAATTTAAGGATACTTAAAAATAGAATGGATAGCAGTTGTTTATCCAAGTTTTCTAGAAAATAGGATGGATAACAGTGATTTATTTTCAGAATACTAGAAAACAGAAAGAATAACAGAAGTTTATCCAAGGATACTAGAAAATAAGACGTTATAGAACAGTGTATTATCCAAGGATACTTGAAAATAGGATGGATAACAGTAGTTAATCCATGGTTTCTAGAGAATAGGATGTATAATAGTGATTTATACAAAGACACTTGAAAACAGGATGAATAACAGTAGTTAATACAAGGATACTAGAAAATAGTACGGATAACTGTGGTTTGAACAAGGGCGCATTAGAAGATAGGATGGAAAACAGTGGTCTATCCAAGATGGGTATAGTTAAAAGTAATTTATCGAAGGATACCAGAAAATAGGGTAGGTAAGTGTGGTTTATCCAAGAATAATAGAAAATAGGATGGATGACAGAAGTTTAGATTTGTTAAGAAAGTACCTATCTTCTTTGCCACAAACTCAAATTGTCTAATCCCTTTATCTTTGTAATCGGATGGTTCAAACCTTCGATATTTCAAACTTTTAAGCTAACGGAAGTCATGGCTTGAAATATCTAAGGTCATACGACATTGGGTTGCAAAGATAAGTGAATTAGAAAATCAGAGTTTGTGGCAAAGACTTAATTCCTTTCATCTAAACTTGTTAAACCATTTTTTAAGTAGCAAGGCTGAATTATAGTATTATCTAAAAGGCCGGTCAAATTGGCTTTGATAATTATCAATTTTTCATTCATAAACAACAAATCTTCTAAACTTTTAGCTAGGTGTAGTGAAATTTTACCATTTTGCTGGTAAAATTTAACCCACTGGGGTCAAACAGAGATGTTTTTCTTTCTCTTGGATAAATAGAGAAGCACTTAAAGTAAAATTCAGGGTTTTATTCAAACTCCTCTTTCTACTAAACCAGAGTTTACAGACCAACAATTCAGTATAGATTTTTAGCGTTGGGACTGGGCGTTATTTTTTTTTTTAAACGTTTGTTAGGTGAAGGGAGGAAGGCCAACCACATCAATCTCTAGTCCGAACCACATTCTCCTCATTTTCTCGTCCAAACCACCTCGAAAACCTCGTCCTTTCAATATTATTTTTTTTAAGTGTCCGATTCTTGAAAATAAATACATTTGTTAAAAATATGGCGACATTAGGGCATAACACATGACTAGAATAAAGTTTTCCAAGGATTTTGAGATGTTGGAATCTTCAAATCCACGAGAATGATGTCAAACATTATTTAGGTTAAACTTAAATCTCTTCTGCCTCCATAATGGCTAACCTTTGTGATATAAAATAAATAGAAAAATATTCGGCATACCTCTGCCTATAATTTTCCCCATGGAACCACCCGGAAAAATTCTTTAGTTTTCACTATAGTTAACAAAAAAGATTAAAGTTCTATATAACTTGAAATTATTTGCGGCATTCTACACCAGGAATATCTGAAAATGCGCGTAAAAAAGGTATACATTTTTAAGGACATTAAACTTGAAATCTTTAATTCAATTGAAACTTTTAACTTTGATTTGCAAAAATTTGATATTTCATTTATGTCCTAACGTGGCTTGATTCTTAAAAAATAGTTTTATATGGACACTTAAAAAAATGATATTGAAAGGACGAGGATTTCGAGGTGGTTCGGACGAGAAAATGAGGAGAATGTGGTTCGGACTAGAGATTGATGTGGTTGGCCTTCCTCCCCTCGTTAGGTCGGACTTAAAAACGTCGGACCAGTACTGCATCGGACCAGTATTGCGTCGGAAAAGTACAAACGTCGAACTAGTACCGTGTCGGAACAGTACAAACGTTGAAGTTACAAATGTCGGACCAGCCTAAATTCCAATCACTGCAAACGTCTGACCAGTCAAATTTACGTAAATGATTATTCCACACTCTAAATTACTAATATTAAAAAAATCGCTTATTAGTGCAGTCAACTTTTCCTACCAACTAAGTGATTTTTATATGTCCCTTTTCATTCCATAATTTGATCGAATAACCCATAGATTAGTTAAAATAACAGATAGAACACTTGATGTCGTCTTTTCATGTTTTTACTCTCTCTGTCCGGAGTTATAGGTTAGGTTAGAGAATATTTGTTGTAAAATACAATTCAAGGCTCTTGATGCAAAAACTTGAAAGAACTGTGAACATAAAGCTGTTCACTGCTCCACCAAACTCTATAAAGAATATTTACTGAAAGCCTTTCTGAGAATTGTGGGGCTTGTTCGATATCACACTGATTTAACTGTTCTGTCTTTATGTACACGTCAAACTGAACACTCAAGTAATTTGCACATAAACTTGAAATATGTTTTCAAAACTCCTCTTTTTAAAGCGCTGCTGAGAATAGAAAAATGTTTTCAATTTCTTAACTTTAACTGGATAAATAGTTTCTCGGGAAGTTCCGAGGTCACAAAGTAAGAAATTTTACCTTCTGTTTAGTATGTATTAAATAAGCTGTTACTTTAGATCCCAATTTTAACAATTATTAAGAAAATAATTAAATTTCTTTTGTCGGCGCATGCGTTTTAAATGAAAGACGACCCTGTAATTTCAAATTTCAAAGATAGTTGAATTATATATAAAAAAAAATGTGATTGAATTCTAATTGAAGAAACAGAACACAACCAGCCTCGGTTAGTCCAGGGTGACATGAGTTGTATTGTTTTAATAGAATTTGTTTCCTTTTAAACTTCATATATGATATCGACAGCTTCTGTAATTCTCTTGTTTTGAAAATGAAAGTGTTTTGATATTTTCTGTCCTTAATTCATTCAATTTTACTTCTTGTAAGATGCATCTTTACTCAAAGATTAAAATTGTACAAACAAATTTAATATTTATACTTTAACAGATTGTTCATTTATTTTATTTTAGGAGATTACCAATTAGATTTCTAAAGGAACTGTCCGCTTAATTTCAGGCAACTCCCCATTTTAAGAGTTACATTGTACATACATGATTCACCTTGCTACCATTTAAAAGGATTGCAAGGTGAATCTGGCATGACGTTTTCACTTAAGATTGCGTGGATAGTATACTTTAAAGTTTATATTTGCTCTAGCTTAAAGGGACTGTGTAAAGTAACAGAAAAGTAAAAAAACCAGCTCAATATAAATCTTTTTCAAGAAAGGTTTTTTCAGAAAAACACTCACAATTTATCGATATAGAATTGGTTATGTGAAAATCAAATTTTTGTATCTTTTACCAAACCCTTCAAAAGTCGAAAAAAATCAGAATTTCTTAGGATGTTCTTTTAGTAAAAAAAACTTCCGATTGGAAATTTTATTATTGAACAAGTTTTTTTGACAAAATAGAAATCACTGCAAATCAAAATGTGCGAAATCTCTCACAAAAACATCAAGCAGTATTTTGCAAAATTCTCCTTTTAAACTTAAGCAAAAAACAAGCGCGTTGCATTTTTAAAATGTATATGTCTAGGGTTGCAAAAAAGTATAAGCAAGTTTCTGGGTTAAGACCCACGGCCAGAGCGTTGCGAAACTTAAAAGTTTTGGAGTTGTCTATTTCTCATATCTAAAGTCACATTTTTATACAATCTTTTAATCATAGTTTTTGAAATTCCTCTTTTTTGAAACTAAAGATTACCTGACCACAGGATTGACAGCGCTGATTAGCAAACACAACCTGGCCGCGTAGAACCAAAATATCATTGTATATAATTTTTGTCGCAAACATCTTTTTTAAAGTTGCTCATTGTCCGCGAAAATCGATTGTGATTTTACAAAATACGCCTTTGAAACTGAGAATATGAAAAATACAATTTAAAATCTTCATGTACAGAGCTACAAAAAAGGAAAAGTTAGCTTAAATGAGAAATATTTTTTTTGATACATCTATTAAATATTTTTTTATGGAACCCTGGGAGCTAATAAAGTAGATTTTTTTAATTCGAATTTTTTTTATTAAAATTTTTTTTTGAATTTCGAAATTTTTTTTTCAAGTGTTTCTAAAATTCCACGGGCAAGCTTTCTATATTCTATATTCTATGTTATGTAAAATGTATGTTCTGATATATTTTGTTGCCTGAACTGGAGGAGGTAATTGTTTAATCACAGTTTCTAATTCTTCTAATATTTCTTCTTCAGTGTAACATCTTAAAGTCTCCTTTCGTAACCTAAAAAAGAGTGGCATGTCTTATTGATGTTAGGTACTTTCCCATTGGCCTTTTCCCAAGCGGCAACTTTCCAAGGGTATTTTCCCAAGTGGCAACTTCCCAAATGAGGAATTTCCCAAGCAGCAACTTCCCAAATGTACATTTTCCCAAGTAACAATTCCTTAAATAATTTATTATATTTTCTTTAAAACAAGGAATAGCCGCAGCGCTCGACCCCCTCGCCCATCCTAGCCGCAGCACTCGGCCCATAGCCCATCCTAGCCACAGTGCTTTGCCCCCTAGTCAATCCTAGCCGCAGCGCTCGGCCCCCTAGCCCATCCTAGCCGCAGCACTCGGCCCCTTAGCCCATCCTAACACCGTCTTTATTCATAACAGTAAACTATCCATCTAAGTTTTAATAAAGAAGATAACGTCTTTTTCATGAGTGGAATTCCGACAGTTTGCTTTATTGTCTCTCTGCACGTCACTTTTAAGAAAAAATCATAAATGAACATAATAAATGAAAAGTGTTGAGTATATAATCATACAAGAGTTTCCAGGGTCCGTTTCGCTAATTGAGAAGGTTCAGGGCCCAGGAAATTGTGGAAGCTTCCTATTGGTTGACAGACGGAAGGCCGGTGTGGGGATTGAGTTCCCGGGTCAGTTTTAAGCAGTCCTTTATAGTATAAAGGTTTGGTACAAGTTTGGAATAGTTAAACCATAAAAGTTCATAGTTATAATATTAGTTATAATATTAATATAATATAATATTAGTTATAATATTAGGGTTTAAACTAACATCTCAAGCAGTTAAAAACTAAATATGGACTACAGAAATAAGGAAATTTGACATAATTAAGTCCAATTTTCACCTTAAAACATACCGGCCAAAGTTTTTATATGTGGGTGTTATTTTACTTTATGTTCCTAAGGACCCCTCAATCATCCTTCCATAAAATATGAGGATATCATTTCATGTGTCGGCAAAAGTTGTCAAAATACGGAACAAAGTTACCTTTCAGTTGTTTCATTCACAATTTCTGGAGTAGCTAGTTCCCAGCCCCGACAAACTGGTTCTGCATGTACCCACAGCTTTTTAGCCGCTGTACACGCCCCCTGGCAGTCCTCAGCCACAGTTTTCTGGGCCTGAACAGATATATAGATACTATACGCCTCTGGGTGATAAATGCATTACAATTTACACAAAATTAATAATTTGTTTACTTGCAGCTACATGTTTACTCTATAACTAGCGCCTCTAGTGGTGAGAAGTGAAACTAGTGTACTCATGTGTACTCTATAACTTTACATCTCTTTCTTTATTCTGTAAAGCATAGCAATTGATTTCTTTTAAACATGTTATTTATGTAGCTGGAAAGAGCATGAGGTTTGCGAAAAGTTTTAAAATTTTTCTTGCCAAGATTAAACTGAAAGAGTTAAAGCATAAAGTTGTGTTGAATATGTTTAGAGAATGAATAAAAAGTCTAAACTTTAGGTGAACTAACTTTTCCTTTGGAAAGTTCACAAACCTTTGGCTACCTTGCCTTTCCTTTGACAATCTGACCTTTCATTTGTTAATCTTACCTTTCCTTTGACAATTTTACCTTTCCTTTGGAAATCTCACCTTTTCTTTGAGAATCTTACCTTTCCTTTGACAATTTTACCTTTCCTTCGGCAATCTTACCTTTCCTTTGGCAATCTTATTTTTCTTTTGGCTATCTTATCTTACCTTTGGCAATATAACTTTCCTTTGGCAATCTTACATTTCCTTTGGCAATATTATCTTTCCTTTGGCAATATTACCTTTCCTTTGGCAATCTTATCTTTACTTTGGCAATCTTATCTTACTTTTGGCGATCTTACATGGCAAGCTATCTTTCCTTTGACAACCTTACATTTCCTTTGGCAATATTACCTTTCCTTTGGCAATCTTATCTTTCCTTTGGCAAACTTACCTTTCCTTTGACAATCTTACCTTTCCTTTGGCAACTACAACAACGTTTGACCATATTCTGCCGGCGTCACTTTCAACAGTAAATTCATCTATAAACTTAGCTTGGGCCTGAAACAGTATTCAGTTAGAGTCTAGTTTTGATAGGTACGTTGATTGATTGGTTGATTGATTGAGAAATCATAACTGTAAGCTTAATCCTCTATCCTAGAATTGCAATGCCGGATTTACAACGGTACCCTTCAAAATTTTATCTGATCGATGATTTTCTATAAATTTAGAAGTGCATAATTCTGATAATTTCTTTATGTGTTCAAACGTTGTAAATCGTGTGGACACGGAAAATTTCGCTTTCTGCGGTGGAATTAAATTCAGTAAAAACGTCACTATATTACCTAGAAGCTAAATTTCATCAACCTGCGCTTGAAAAAAAAACAGAAATTAATCGTATAGATCGAACGTTTGAAAAAAATCAAACAATCTCTTATAAATTTTGGTCATACTTGGGTCGGATGAATATTCTATCTATCAGATAACAATTTTGCGTGAGACATCTGGTGGCCAAACTATCGTCCTCCAAAGTACGACCAATGGGCAATGTTCATACATTTTTAAAGAGAGAACGGGCTCAGACATTGAGCTTGAGAGTGCGACGACTTGTCCACCACAGTTCCAATTTTTGCATGGAGGATCACTAGAAATAACGCACTTACAGTCCCTTTAAAAAAACTCTTATATAGAGAATTATGGAAATTGAGTTTCCCTTCATAACCTTTCAATAGATACTAGTTATATATATATACAGTGCAGATTAGTTATATATATAGTGCAGATATTCTCAAATAATGCAAAACATAATAAACAGTTCACAATGCATTTCACTGTAAAAAATATATTGTTTATTTTTTCCTACCAATTAAAAAATAAAATGCTAAAAACTCTCTAAGAAATTAAAAGTCAGTTATTATAGATATATTTCTACCATTGTGTTCATGATTCTAACATGATGATATCCATTTCTGATGAGATTTTATTTATACTACATTAACCAATTATTTGTGTACTTTTTCTTACAGTGAGTACTTTTGTAATACTTTTTACATAAGCAATAATTTGATTACATAAATTGTTCTGTATTATTAAATTATGAGAAACAGTTCGTAATTTTGTTTCACATTCCATTTATTTTTCTCATTCCTAGCAATAACCATTTCTTTATAAAAAGCTGGTTTTTTCGTATGCAACAATTTTCCTTTAATCCCGTCGGGATATTTTCATTGAAAGATACTTTGAAAATTGAAAATCTACAAAGGCAACAAAATAAATCCGCAAACCCTCGGGTTTACCATTGAATCCCCTCTTTAAAGAGGAATGTCATTTACTCTCAGACAAATTAGAATCAATGGAAATTTAAACCCCCGAGAGATTAAATGATAAACCCGAGGGCGTAGTAAATGATACATTGGTTCGTACCAGCCCGTACAGTGTACAGTGTACAGCGTTTTTTACAAAAATGTAGGTTGGCTGGATAGTGGATACATTAACATGTGCACTCAGATAACGGTTTAAATGGCAATCTTGAAATCGAGGCTCAAAAAAAAATTGTACCTGCAATGTTGCATCCATTCTTAGTTGTGGAAATACACACCATATTACAGCTTTTAGGTTATAGATTCCCAGAGTCTAAAATATTTAGGAGAGTTGATAAGTTTGGCAAAATATATTAAACCAAACCCTCTAACATCTAAACATTTTATGCGTAATAATAAAGGTAAAAACTAATTTTTAATGAAAACTTTTTTTTAAATTAACATTTTTTGCACAAATGAACGTTTTTTAAAAAAACGTAGTTCGGAAATTAAAATGAACATTTTGTATAAAGTCTCTGAAAGTAAATTGACTGAAAACAGCGGGGATGCATTGTATTTGTGTTCTTAATCCAGGTATCATTTTGCAAACTTTTGTCATGAATGAAAAGCAGATTTATTCAGAGAATTACGGACTAAAATATACTTCCCACTGCCTCAAATAGGCATTATTCAATTTAAGTTTACGGGTTGCGGAAAAAGAAAATAAAAATGTCGAGAATTCTCCAATGTTAAATGCAATTTTAAAAAACGATATTTGTGATCTGAGCTGGGAACTTTAGAATGGTGGATATCGAGATCAATGCTTAATCCTCTCGTTTTCTTAATCTCGAGACTAACTTAATCTTGTACTTGTATCCTGAAAAGTGTATAAAATTCACTCAATCAGAGCTGCGTATCAGAAGTCGGGAAATTTAAAATTTTGCGCGCCATTTAAGATTATATATAGAAACGGGAGGGACTCTATTATTTGAAAAACCAGTTTTTGATTTTTCTGTACTATATCCAAAAAAAGAGTGGATTAAGCATGACTTTAAAAGTGTCCACATTAAATTTTCGGATTAAGGAGTCGAGATTAAAGGAATCCCATTCTAAAGTTCCCATCTCTGGTTCCGGATCTATTGTTTTTGATGAACGGATCCAGAATCCGGATCTGCATCAAATAGAATTGATCCTTTATGCACTGAGCCCGGGATTTTAAAAAATCCGGAAAAAATGACTTAGGTCTTATCATTGGGCCTCATTGACGGCTCGAATCTTGAGGTAAGTTGCAACTAATTTTCCACACACTTGAGTTTATTAAACCGGTTTAAAATCGGTGACTTCCTGGATATGATTATAACAAGAATCATTTATACATTGAGACTAATTCTCCAATAAAACCAACCAAGGTCGGTTTTATTTTTATTGGGCCTAACTTCGTAAGCAGAGCCGAAGATTGAGCAGCTGACAATCACGTGACAAAAGCTGTCGCCAGTTGGTTCTAAGATTGAGCCTTAAACCCGGGTTTAAGAAGTTGCATGACTCGAGCCGAAGCTTTTAAATCGCGCCTCAGATTCTGTACCTGCATTTGAAGCAAAAGATCTTTAAACACGTGGGAGTCAGATTTACCGCCAGGATCTGACCAACCTTAAACAAAACAAATTTTTTATTTAATGTCAGTATAGTAATATCAATATAATGAAGAGATTTTAATCCAAACGCATCTAAAACCGCCTAAATACAGCTTAAAGGAACTGTAAGCGTAATTTATAATGACCATATGCGCAAAGATGGAATCTTTTTTATAGTTTACAATGTATACAAAGAGAATGCCTAGTTCCCTAATATAGAAGTATTTTCCCAATTGCAAATATGAAAAATTTTTGATAGTTTGAACTGCTTTGACCGGATTTAATGAATTTGAGCTAGGTGTACAGACAGTTCAACCACGTGCCTTGAATAGATTTAATTTGGCGTACCGTCCCGGTTCACCTTACATAGTCTGTTCTTGTACTGAAAAGATTACTCTAGCTGCAGTTTGAATTTGTTACAGTGCAATACAGCCCAAATTTTGTACTAAGGATGGAAAAAAATTTAAGAAATTAAAAGTGTATTAAAGGAGAGGAATATGAGGATCCGACGCTACTCATTTCAGGATTTTATAATCTTGTTTCGGGGATTTTATCCCATTACAATATAATGTATTTATCGCTTGACTTTTCATTCATTCTTTGTAAATTATACTAAAGAAAAGAGGGAAAGACAAAAACCAGATGTAATTATTTCTCGCAGTCTATTGGTCTTTGGAGATCAAAATAAATAAAAATTGATATATATATATAAACAAAAACACAAATGTGTTTTCCAGAAACCTAAAATAAATTTAGCAAGTTTTATTCCAAGATTTGTAAGGGTAGATTTCTCCATATCCATTTTTCAGTTTAAATAATTGTTAAATCATGTTTGTCAACTATATTATAAAACTTTGCGTTTGAAAAATATATTAGTGAACTTTCCCTTTAACAAATATATTAGTAAACTCTCCCTTTAACAAATATATAAGTGAACTCTTCCTTGAAAAAAACATATTAGTGAACTCTCCCTTTAACAAATATATTAGAGAACTCTCCCTTTAACAAATATATTAGTGAACTATCACTTTAACAAATGTATTAGTGAACTCTCCCTTTAACAAATATAAAAGTGAACTCTCCCTTTAACAAATATATTAGTAAACTCTCCCTTTAACAAATATATTAGTGAAGTCTCCCTTTGACAAATATATTAGTGAACTATCCCTTTAAAAAATATATTAGTGAACTCTCCCTTTAACAAATATATTAGTGAACTCTCCCTTTAACTAATATATTAGTGAACTCTCCTTTTAACAAATATATTAGTGAACTCTCCCTTTAACAAATATATTAGGAAACTCTCCCTTTAACAAGTATATTAGTGAACTCTCCCTTTGACTAGTATATTAGTGAACTCTCCCTTTGACAAATATATTAGTGAACTCTCCCTTTGACAAATATATTAGTGAACTCTCCCTTTGACAAATATATTAGTGAACTCTCCCTTTGACAAATATATCAGTGAACTCTCCCTTTGACAGATGTTGAAGAAATGTTCTTGCGAAGAAGATTAAAGGAAGATATATTTGCGCCTGGATTTGAAAAGGTTTAAAATGAAACCAGATATTTGATGAAAGAGAATCTATTTTTCACCCCAGAACTTGTAAAAACTGAAGATTACTGGAGATATTGGTTTTTACATGAAGAGATGCATTCAACCTAAAAATACCTCTTTTCAAAGTAATCAACCAGATCTAAACTAAATATGTGGAATCATTCAACTCTTATAAATTAAAAACTTAATTTACTTTGATATTAAACTGGGGGTAGTCTAGACTGGTCGGTACGAGTTCAAATAAAAAGGTTAATACAAAAAGTAACAGAACGTAAAGGAAAAAGTAAAGGGGCCCCTAACCACACTGTTTTTGACATGCGCAAAGACAGCGACTAGTTTTAATTGAATGAACATATACAAAACTATGGTTTGGTAGTTTTTCCGACAATAAAAAATGAAGAAAAAATTCTGAAGCAAATATATGTAACTTTTCAACTTGGAAACCCAGCTAAGAACACTTCCGTGGGTCCGACGAAGTTCCCTATTAAAAACAAACAGAGATATTACATTATTTATAAACAAGCTTGGGAACCCAGCGTTGCCCAGTCGACCCTGCACTCAACTCAGAATCTCAATATCATGAGCTATAAACATTCCCGTTGTTCTCCCGAGTTCCCCAATCAAAGTTTTAGACAAATCGGTCAAAAGGTTCACGATCAGACATACAAACAGACAGACAAACAGAGATATTACTTTGTTTATTTAGGTTAGATATATGAAACATCAAAAAAATAAAATGGAGCAGTTTTAAGTAAAAAGCTAAATATAAAGATGAATGTTTATTGAAGAACAAACAGGGAAGTTTTAAAGGTATGCAAATATCCTAAAATAATAAAAGTCTGAAACTAAAATATTTTGTATATATCTACATATTTGTAAACATTGAGGTCGACTTTTTATCTGAAGATGATAAAATGACAGTGAAACTATGGAGAAATTTTTAATAGAATCAGTTCAATTATATTAAAAAAAATTTTAAATCTTTTTTTATTTTCAAACTTTTTCAGATTTTGTCGTCAAACTATATATTAGGATGGGTGTAAATATATCTGCCTTGAAACACTGAATTAAAGAAATGGTGTCTATTGTAACAAACTCTGATTTTCTGATACTTATATTTTTAACACCTAATGGTGCAAACCTTTGATATTTCAAACTTAGATTCTTTCATCTAACAGAATTCATAGTTTGAAATATCAATGGTCTACGGTATTGGGTTGCAAAGATATAGAGATTAGAAAATCATAGTTTTTGACATAGACTAAATTCCTTAGTAAAAATCCCTCAATATCTTTAGAACTCGATGTTGTAAACCTTTGATATTTCTAACTCAGAATATTTGATCAACAGAATTCATAGTTTGAAATATCTGAGGTCTGCAATATTTGGGTCTAAAGGTATAGTGATTAGAAAATCAGAGTTTGTGGCAAAGACTTAATTCCTTTTAGTTAATCTTGAGTTGTTAAAATTTCTTAGGAAACCTGCACAGTAAAAAAGAAACCCTGCTTGTATCAGGATAAATATAAGTTATTCAGAATAATTTTATTCTATTTTTTCTAAAAAATGACTTGCAAATTTCTACTGCAGAAAAACAAATAGAAATTATCAGAATTAAATAATCCAACTCTATAAAAACGACAATATCTTCCACAATATTGATCAGATAAAGGTTTCAAGGGTACCGTTGTGAATTGGGTAGTGTCATCTAGCATGGAGGGTCACTTGAAATTACGCGTAATGTCCCTTTAGAAGTAAAAACTAATAAGTCAAGATAAGAGTTAAGTTAAGTTAAGAGTTTAAAAAAGAAGACTGATAAGTTTTGAAATTTAAAAACTCCAGTTATTTCAGGATCAGAGTCAGGAAAATAAATTTAGGTGATGCGTTGTGTTCAGTTTCTGATGGCATCAACTTCTACCTTTGTACGTAATTAGCAACTTACCGTTACATAATAGCTCCAAAGTATTTATTTTACGCTTCGTTTTAACATCATTTTTATAAATTCTTGTGTCTTTTCCTTATTTTTAAAACTGTTGTTCCAAAAAGGTTGAATACAATTATGTCTTTTTAGATATAAAAAATGTTAAGGGGCTTAACCAAATCCTCAACAATTTGTTTTCAGCTCGTTGTATACAAATATTGTTTAAATTGTAATGTTTTCTGTTTTTAACCCCTTGTAAAAAATATAGCAGAGCGCATTAAACATTTGCCTGAAAAGACAAATAATGTTTACAGATTTCTCATTTTATTAATATTTGACAGCAGGCACTAGTCCAATAAAATATTAGAGGATTCTTAAACCCAAGGTTATAATGCAAGGAAAGTTAATTGCAGTTGCATATACTCTGCGTACATATTGAAACCAGTTATATTTATAAATTTATAACCAAGAATAAATGCATCAGTGTTCGTTTAGTATCCTAGGAGGATAAAAGCATTGAATTTCGAAATTTTTTATAATTTACATAATAATTTCCTATGACCAGAATACTTCATTAATTTTTTATGTGAAAGATGGATCCCATGTCAGGCTGTGACATCCGTCTTGTGTTTATATTACCGCCCAGAGACAGTACACTGCAGTACAAAAGATGCGTACACCTATCATATAATTTTCCTTGCATTATAACCTTGCTTAAACCAATATGGCATGCCTTGGTCTAGGATATATGTTATTATCCCCCTTCCACATAATTGAAGTTTTGCCCCTGAATTCTTTATTTTGATCTCATCGCATCAGATATGGCGGTTTCTGGTTTATATATTTCTTGGGCATGCCACCCGGAGTATTCACGGAGAATGGGAAGCCGTGGAGAGAGAATTGACCCGGCCTGTCGTCAGAAAAGCAATTATTAAATCATGCGATGAGCCGGAACGGGAGAATTGACTCTATTCCTCTAACCTTATTTTATAAACCCAGTACTTTCGGCTCAGAGTAAGATATTACAATAATGAAAAAGTTTTGATTGAAATATTATGATATATTCGCTAAGTTTTGAGGAGGAAAACTTGTTTAGTTTATCAATTTTTACCATTTATTTTGAATTAGTTAATGGTTTTATGTTGTATTTCTTAGCTCCTGCAGTCACGCTATACTACATGCTACACGCTATGATAAAAAATTGTATAGTACCCTCACAAACTACATAGACTGATTATCTCCTTTCACAGGGTGGGCTACGTAGGCTTAAGTTGACCTGGCACGACATGCTACGTTTTTACGATAGGTTTTTAGAGTGCCATCTCACGGCCACTTGTTGAAAATAATACCCATTCAGGAGCTAAGTTTTACAACTTTTAAAGAAATACTCCAATTTTTAACATGAAACATAACATTTATGAATTCAATCTATTTGTTTTTCGCTTCCAAAGGATTCTCAAATTTCCCTGAATACAGATGTTTGCTGATTGGTCGTGTACAGTACTTGTACACAATAGAACATGCGTGTACCGCGAAACCACACTGATTTAACAGTTTGGTCTTTATCCTAGCAAGCTGGGACTTTCGAACTCAATTTTATCGCTTCTCAAATAGATTTTTAATATGCCACAAAGGGATATCCAGAAAACTAGACTAAGAAAAGTGTTTTTTCTTTCTTTTTACAATGATTTTTCGCTTTCTATCTTTTGAAGTTTTTTGTAGTCAGTCCAGGCCGTGTTGCACGATCTCAAGTCCTTTTTTAAAGAATTTTAATATGCCAAAAAGGGATATCCAGGAAACTAGACTAAGAAGTGTCGCCTTCTTTCTTTCTTTTTTCAATGTTGTTTTGCGGTATTGTGTAATTTAAAGATGATTTTTTCTAAAACTTTTCAGGGGCCACAATTAATGAATAGCAAGATGTAGTTGAGCTACATAGACTGACTTAAGCGTTTACGCTTGAACTTGGACCTAAGCACCAAAGAAGTGATTCTATTCTACTTAGAAGACGGAGTTTAAATATTTATCACTATACACTCAGATTACCTGGATTATCCATCCAAAGCGGAGCATTGGAATGTTTAGTATCTTCAACTACAACTGTGCTGTTGGTTACACCTTGAGCCCCTGAACCGGTCAGCTCCTAAATTATTTTTTTTTAACTTTTAATTTTTGACATAATAATTTGTTCCTTTCACATTGTTTTAAAACACCAAGGACAGTTTGATGTATTGAACAAGGGCATACACAGAAATAAATCTAAGGGATGCGCGAAGCGCAACATTTCCCCCCGCCATTAGAAGCTCCTAGGGGGGGGGGGGATTTGAACTGTAAATTCAAAACATTTGGCTTCTTAGATAATTTAAAGTTACGCATTAAGTCCAATTACCTTGCGAGTAATACTTTATCTCTCCTTCAAACAAAACTAGCAGAAAAAAACAGCAAACAAATTTTTTTAGTCTCTTCACTGTAAAGGGACTGTAGACGTAATTTTTGTTGTGCCTTTGCTGCATACATCGGCATCTATTTTTACAGAGAGATACCTGAATCGAAAATAATGATATTTCAGAAAAAAAACTTTCATTTATTCTTGATCAGAGATTAAAACGGTATCAAAATGAATCAAATATCTACTTTATCCACTAAAATGATATTGAAATCCCCACCTGTGCTCCTGTATAGAGGTTTAACAGGGTTGTCTTTCCCGTCCCTGAAGTTCCAACCACCATTATACATGATCTTCCAGATACAGGGGCTTTCGTCTTTTTAACCTAGTCACGTGATCAGTAAATATACCATTATACATGATCTTCCAGATACAGGGGCTTTCGTCTTTTTAACCTAGTCACGTGATCAGTAAATATACCATTATACATGATCTTCCAGATACAGGGGCTTTCGTCTTTTTAACCTAGTCACGTGATCAGTAAATATACCATTAAACATGATCTTCCAGTAAGTGAACTTTCGTCTTTTAACCCTAAACAGGGGGGGGGGGGCGTTTGGCGCCCCCTCTGTAGTTTTTTTTTGTCCTAGCACTCTCATTTTTGACACTATCACCGTGAAATTTTGTGACTTTTAATGAATAGTAATTTAAAGGATTTTTTGTTAAATTTTTTTTTTCATTTATAGGGTAGGGTACAGGGCGGAAAAAATCCGGTCCATGAAGAAAAAATCTAAAATAGCCCATAACTTTTTTGTGACTAAAGCTACAGATTAATAATTAAATGATTAAATGTCGTTCTCCTATTCCAAAGTTTACGGGTCTCTCTGTAGGAGCAAGGGATTACATTTGCCAAAGAAAAATAATCTTTAATTGAACTTGAAACAAAACTCTTTCAAAATTGGTTTGCTCTTTTTTTAGGAAGTCCATCATCAATATAATAAAAATTAAACTGAATGGAGATCAAAATGAATGTTTTAATATCGATGCCTTCGATCTAGTTTTTCTCTCATTTTTGACAAAATTACAAATTTAAAAGTTGTTTTGTTTTACCTTTTTTAAAACTTTCATCTCCATGTTTTCCTCCTTACCAGAGTTCGGTGCTTCTCCTTTCCCCATCTAGAGATACAAGATACAGGATACAGGATACAGGATACAGGATACAGGATACAGGATACAGGATACAGGATACAGGATACAGGATACAGGATACAGGATACCAGGATACAGGATACAGGATACAGGATACAGAATACAGGGTAAAGGATACAGGGTACAGGATACAGGATACAGGATACAGGATACAGGATACAGGATACAGGATACAGGATACAGGATACAGGATACAGGATACAGGATATACAGGAGATACAGGATACAGGATACAGGATACAGGATACAGGATACAGGATACAGGATACAGGATACAGGATACAGGATACAGGATACAGGATACAGGGATACAGGATACAGGATACAGGATACAGGATACAGGATACAGGATACAGGATACAGGATACAGGATACAGGGTAAGGATACAGGATACCGGATACATGATACAGGATACAGGATACAGGATACAGGATACAGGATACAGGGTACAAAATACAGGAAAAACAATAAAGGATACAGAACATAGGACAAACGATAATGATACAGTATACATTATACAGGTTGCATAATACATAATACAGAAGCAAGTATTGTTAGTATTATAAGAAATGAAAGAAATGACAAAGATGACTCATATTGAGAGAAATAATAGTACTAGTTTGGGAACCTGCCTTTCCACGGATTAAAGTTAATGCTACATATTTTTATCGGACACACAAACAGGCATACACTCAAACAGATATATTAATAGAATAAATAAAGAATACATGTGTTACTTCAATTTTTTTACTTCTATTTAGAGTTACACGAAAAAATATTAAGATGCTTGAAATGCAAAAAAAATCTTAATTATTTAGATTTATCTTAGTTAATACTTTTCTTACAGTCTAGAAAGAATTAAAAAATCACCGGTTCGGGATAAACTCGTTGATTATTTTTCACTAAACCATTCATTTAAACTCCAAACCTTGTTCTAATTTATCATTGATGATGATATATGAACATGTTTCACCATGCACGAAACTTTCCAGCTGAACTAGGAACTTTCTAAAACTGCTTTCTTGTTCAACCCCCTCTCTCTCTCACTCTCTATCTTTCTCTCTTATAGTTTGTTTAGAAAATGTCCCGGGAGATAAAATAGACACAGGTAAAATTTCAATCGATTTACGGAGAATTTTTTATCAATGGATTGATAGATAGATATATTCTTCGCGAGACATGAAATATCGTCTTTGTTTTTGAATAGAAGAAGTTAAAATTTATGTAATATTAAACTTGAACGACTAATTCTTTATTTCTGATTTTATGCAAGTAGAAGAAAATAAAACTTATTTGGTTACAACTTACATATTAGAAGTATTCTAAACATATCTCTTTTCAACAGTTTTTTTAAATAAGGAATTAATGATTGAAATTAAGTTTGACGTATGTTCTTTTCTAACATTTCAGTGTCCGAATTTAATGAATTTAAGCCGCGTCTCAAATCCCCCAAAAACCGGTTTTAATTGAGCACCGGTTTAAAAATTGAATACAATTTTAAGTGGAACCCACCATATTTGAGCCGCGTCTTAAATTTAACCCGCGGATCAAATTCTTTAATTTCGGCCACCGATCAGACTAAGGTTTAAAGGCCTCACTCAGTCTTAAATTGTTTCCAAAAAAGAGCGAGTTATAGTTGTGGCTTTAAATCAAATGTCAAATGAAACTGCTATCTTTGTTTTTTTACATTTCAATTTCTGAACTAAAAAATACTAGAATTTACAAAGTGAAAAAATATATAAAATATATATATCAAGCACACACTAATTTAACAGTTCGGTCCTTGTTTTAGCTTGCTGTGAGCCTGTGACTTTCGATCACAATTTGACAAAATAAATTTAATTTTCCGCTTTTTCTCTTTTATACTTTATTGTCAACGGATTCGTTTCGAATAAAAAGTGAACTTCTTAACCCTATAAAGGCTGAGGGGTCTGAATCTATGTACAGCCTGGGGGTGGGGCGTTCGGTGCCCCCCCCCCCAGTAAAAAGCCTTTAAGAATAGGTATAGGGTTGAAATGCATGTTCATAGCCTAATTTATCATGGCCTGCTCAAATAAAAAATTAGACCGATAACTTTAATAGTTTGGGTGCTAGGGAGGGTGGAAAAAAATGTCCAAAAAAATTTCAAAAAATATCAAAATGTGACACATGTTTCTACATGCATATTTCAAGGGCTTTTCAAATATATAGCTTTTAGATCTTTAGCTTTAGTCACAAAAAAGTTTTGGGCTATTTTAGATTTTTTTTCTTAGACCGGACTTTTTTCCGCCCTGTACACGACCAAAGTGAATAAATACTAAAGTGGACCAAACTCATAGTTGGATGACGACATTTTATGTCCCAAGTATTTAGAAATATGTATATATATATATAAATTGGTCTGTATACGGAGTGTACAGTAACTGGACTCCCTTTGTTTACAAACACAGACTTAGAATTTGTATTTAACTTACGTCGTTTCCTTAGTCTGTTCCACTTTAGTATTTATTCACTTTGGTACACGACCCTATAAATCAAAAAAATATTTTTTTAACAAAAAATCATTTTAATTACTATTCATTAAAAGTCCCAAAATTTCACGGTGATAGTGTCAAAAATGAGAGTGCTAGGACAAAAAACTACAGAGGCACCCCCCAGCCTGGTTAGGGGTAGGTTTAAAGATTGTTAAAGCGCATTTGAATTCAAATTAAAGAAACTAACGCGTCTCGCCCAGGTTTCTAGTCCAGGGTGAGCTGTAGTGCTTACAGTGATAACCAGAAAACTCTGACTTAAGTAGACAAGTTTACAGCAATACTTTAAGTATATGATGTTGTTACAACACAAATAATTTTACTACAAACTTCTAAAATAACTAAGAAAGTGAAATGGGTCTGAATTCACTGCAAAATTGCTGCACGCACCTCTGCTCTGTTTAGTAAAAGTAAATTCAACCTAAATGAAGCATAAAGTCTGACCGCGTCAACCTTGTTGCAGCAGCTAGTCCTGTCCAAAGAGCCAGATACAGTACAAATAAAGACCGGAAATGAAGACCCGGCTCGGAAATTCAAATGTACTACGGCTGCTCACGGCTGTGTCTCATGTTCATTTAAAGTCATAACTTGAGTCTGATAGTTTCCTGTTTATAACAGTAGTAAAATATTTCATTTTTCTTTTTGCGTTAAGCCTAAGATAAATATGTGTATAAAGAGGATGCATGGTCATGTTCTTATTCCTATGTTTATGTTATATATTATACCAGTAAATTCAGAATAAATAAATAAAAAGCAGAAACCTTTTTTGTGGCCAACGAAACTAGAAAAATGGCTAGAATCAAGACAAAAAAGTCTTGAACTCTGCAACAGAAACAACTAAAGTCTTTATTATTAACCCTATTCCTGCTGGGGGGGGGTCAATTTTTTTACATAACTCAAAAAGTATTGATCTGTTGAAATTTTTCTGACTTTTCCTACATACCCAAAGCCCTTCCTTTAGGACGAAAACCGGGCTTTAATACTAGCTGCCTAAGTCCTCAGGCACACTGCCTGAATGACTACTTTTTTCTGTGATAAACTAAATCTTTGTTTTAACCCACTTTCCCTTTTATAAAACTTAGTTTTTTGGAAAGCCTATGACATAAGGAAACGGATTGCACAATTGTTGCGAGAAAAAAAAATTGCAAATTTTTTTGCAAACAACCTGTCAAAGGAAATTTTTAGTTTTTCTTGATTAAAAATCAGGTTATTTAAAATTTTGCAAAATTTTTGCATATTTGAAATGTCATGGTCAAGGGCTTTTCAAAAATGTATAATTTTTCATTTTTTGGATACATTTATATTTGCAAACAATTTTACTATATAACTGGATTTTGCGATAAAAAATTCAATTTTTGCAAATTTGCAATTTTTTTGCAGATTATAAAAGTAGAGCACAAGACCTTTCCAATGATGTATCATTTGTCATATTTGAACATCAAACATGGGATTTAGAGGGTTTTCCTGGTTTTCAAGTACCCAGCAGGGATAGGGTTATTAACTAAAAAGTTTAGATAAATAATATTGCAAACACTGCGAATAAAATTTACTGACTAAATTTATGCGATATTACTGGAACGATTAGAAAACATGAGAAAACATGAGAAAAGATGAGAAAACATAAAAGAAATCATAAGAAAACATTAGAAAACATGAAAAAACATGAGAAAACTAATATTTTATGTTCTTCTCAATAGCTCTTCAAAAAAAACAGTTACGATTGAAAACCAATAGATTTTAATCTTGTATGAAATAAACCTTAGTTTAAATTGTGGGGGTTTACATTTATTTTGTAACAATTCTGTTAGGTCTTGTTGTTTTGTGTAATCTTTTGTCACTTTTTACATATGTTGACTTTACTTTAAATTGTTTAATTATGTATTTACAGTTTTTTCTTTCTGTTCTCTTTTCTATTTTGCTTTCTCAACGAGTGAAATAAAGAAAAACTAATTTATGAGATTCTGTTACATGAATTGAGTCGCTCATGAAAACTAGGATTTTCTAAACCCAATATCTTTGTAACCCAATGTCATAGATCTGAACTTCTTCAAACTATGAATTTAATAAGAGCAATAATCTTAGTTTGAAATATCAAAGGTTTACACCATCATGTTGCAAATATATAAGGATTAGATAATTTGAGTTTTGTGGCAGACTCGATTCCTTTACAGTATATACTGTGTATACCCTAACTTTTAGTCTCCTTGAATAAGATCATAAATGTTTATACACACATCCAGTGTATACCCTAAATTTTAGTCTCCTTGAATAAGATCATAAATGTTTATACACACATCCAGTGTATACCCTAACTTTTAGTCTCCTTGAATAGGATTATAAATGTTTATGCACATTTCTAGTGTATACCCTAATGTTTAGTCTCCTTGAATAGGATCATAAATGTTTATGCACACATCCAGTGTATACCCTAACTTTTAGTCTCCTTGAATAGGATCATAAATATTTATACACACATCCCGTGTATACCCTAACTTTTAGCCTTCTTGAATAAGATCATAATTGTTTATACACACATCCAGTATATACCCGAGCTCTAGCTTCCTTGAATAGGACCATAAATGTTTAGACACACATCCAGAGTATACCCTAACTTTTAGCTTCCTTGAATAGGATCATAAATATTTATACACACATCCCGTGTATACCCTAACTTTTAGCCTCCTTGAATAGGATCATAGATGTTTATACACACATCCCGTGTATACCCTAACTTTTAGCCTCCTTGAATAGGATCATAGATGTTTATACACACATCCCGTGTATACCCTAACTTTTAGCCTCCTTGAATAGGATTATAGATGTTTATACACACATCCAGTGTATGCCCTAACTTTTAGTCTCCTTGAATAGGATCATAAATGTTTATGCACATTTCTGTTGATAGAGAATACCCGACTAGATACGTTTATACATTAATATATTATATTTACATAATATACATACTTTCAGAATTAGAAGAAATATTTACTTTTTGTTTTTAGCAGAGAACACACTTGAGTTCTGAATCAATCCTTTTAAGTGACCCTACATTCAGAGCGTTAACCCTATACCGAATGGACTATTTTTGTCTAATAGATATGGGGGGGGGGGTGTTTTCCACCCCACCTATGATTTTGCCCTTAGTGTTCAGGGGACTGTGATACATTAGACCTCTAACTTTGATGGTTTGATGGAGGATTTTGAAAAAGTTCAAAAAGTATGTCGAAAATTTTTTCTAAATTAGTTATATTTTCTTTGATCAAATATTAACATATGAAACATGTTATTGTATCCATTTTTCAAGGGATTTTTAAAGACCCCCCCCCCCTCCCAGCAGTGATAGGGTTAATAGACCGACTCACAACAATACCCTTCAGCTATTTATCGAATACAAAGTACAGAGAAGATATTGTTGTTTTTCTGTTTCTCTGATGCATAAATCCGCAGGTTTTCTTTTTTTTTAAACTGGCATCTAACATAATCAATTTTGTTTAGACAAAGGTACCATTGTGAATCGGACTCTCTCTTCATAAAGGGTTACTTGAGTTTACGTGAACAGTTCCTTTAAAGCAATCTGAAATAGATTTTACTTTATTGAGTTTCCTAGAGCCGGCCATAGTACACAACAGATGTTGGCAAACTTTTAAACAAATTGGCATTTAGAATTTAATCAATCTATTCTCCCTCCCCCCCCCTTAACCCTTTTAAAATGATCCCTCCTCCCCCCTTAACCCCTTTAAAATGATCCCGCCTCCCTAGACTCCTAAATAAAAAAATATTCAGTAAATAACCAGTTATTAACCAGCTATTAAACAGTAGTTAACCAGTTATTAAATAGTAATTAACCAGTAATTAACCAGTAACTAACCAGTTCTTAACCAGTAATTATCCAGTATTTAACCAGTATTCAACCAGTTATAAACTAGTAATTGTCCAGGTTTTTAACCCTATAAAAGCTGGGGGATCTAAATCTATTTCTAGCCTGGGGGACGTTTGGCGCTCAGAGAATAGGTATAGGTTTGAAATGCATGTTCATAGCCCAAGTTTTCATGGCCAGATCAAAGAAAAAAAAATAAAACGACAACTTTAATAGCTTGGGTGCTAGGGAAGTGGAAAAATGCCTACAAAAGGGATAAAAAAAAAAATTTTAAAGCAAATCACAAAGAGTGACACATATATTTACTTGCATTATTCAACTTTCAAGGACTTTTTAAAAATATACTTTTTAGATTTGTAGTTTTAGTCGCCAAAAAGTTATGGGCTATTTTCGTTTTTTTTTCATAGACCAGACTTTTTTCCGACCTGTACCCTACCCTATAAATAAAAAAAATATTTGTTTAACAAAAAATCCTTTAAATTACTATTCATTAAAAGTCACAAAATTTCATCGTGATAGTGTCAAAAATGAGAGTGCTAGGACAAAAAAACTACAGGGGGGTGCCAAACGCCACCCCCCTCCTAGACTGTTTAGGGTTAACGAAGGGATTAAAATGCTAACATGCCATGATTGTAAAAATTATTTTGTTTTTTCAAACTACATATTTTCATATTTTATTAAACGATTTTTTTTATTCTACAAGAAAATTTGAAATGTTTATTGTAAAATGCATCAGCACAGCTCAGTAAAAAAAGTTAATGTTGTTCAAACAACATTTTACATTTTATTAAAAGATTTAATTTTGTAAAAATGTAAGGTTGATTTGAAAACAATATACTTTTTCATTTTGATTATGCAACATTATTGAATAATTTATGACTAAAAACGCTTTTTAATATTCATTTAATATTTAATATTCAGTATATTTTTCACAACATTCCTTTAGAAAATTCAGAAGAAGTGCAAAATTTTAAAAGATCAAAAACCCGCAAGACAGTTTTTCCAGATAAAAACATGTATATCACACTCAGGCAGTAGAAAGTCACTTGAAAATGTCACTTTTTAAAAGACACTCCCTCCATGGTTCGTTCACTTTTTAAGATTAATGTAAACAAAATTAAAATGAGTGCATATGTTTAATAGAAGCGGAGAAATCTGCTTTACTAAATAAATATTGCAGGCTTCTCTATACACACATACATGATACATATGCCTAAATAACGAAAATCAAGAATAATCATGCCGGATGGAAAATATTTCAAATTCAACTTTCCTGTCAGCCAAAATTTGATGTACAAATGTTGCAGTTGAAACAAATTTTAATAGGATTTGTAATTTGTTATAACAAAAAAATTGAATCGTTTTTAATGATATCATTCTTTTATATTAAAATTTTATTATCAAAAAGTATTTCGGCAAATGCAAATTTTCCCCAAAAGAGCTGTTCAATCGCCCCAAATTCTAATTTTGTATTCTTTGCAACCTTTAAACTTTTGATATTTAAAACTTTGTTTATTTCATCTTACAGAATTCATGAAGTTTGAAGTAAGGTCTTCAAAATCTAGTTTCAATAAAATAAGGATTAGAAAATAAGGGTTTGTGACGAGTAATTGTGTAACTTTATGTACGTACACGGTACAATACAACTTTTTGCTAATTTTTTAAAGATCTTAAACTTCATGTTACAGCTGTAGACTTGTAGTGCTCGGCGTTGCCTGTGGAATAAGATAACTTTAAAAACTCGGTAGAAACCGACTTCTTGCTGACGTCCAGTCGATTTTTCTAATCTCACATTTTTGAAAAGTCATATGTATATCTTGAACGTTTGATCTCAATATCCAATGTGGGCACTTTTAAAATAGAGGATATATCAATTAAAGGGAGTGACCGGCTATGTAAAGTAGTTGAACTGAGTATGCAGTGTTGTTTCAGAATTAGTTTTTTTTAAATTATTAAATAACGACAACGAAAAATATTAAGTAGAGATCATACAGTAATCTAATTTGATGGTTAGGAACATATTTCTCAAAGAACTTTGTCAATAAATCTATGCTAAAATCAAATATTCCGTTTTCATCATTATATTGAATTTCTTATTTTCTTTGAATTTATTCGCAGATTTCTTCAAATTCTTCAAATGTCGTCTTTTTAATAATAATTCTAGAAAATCTGCAGAAAATCTTTGTGAATAATGAGAAACCAGAATAATGAGAAAATAGAAACTAATAATTTAACAAGATTACTTCTTTTCGATGATAAGAATGATTTTTATTTTCTCAACATGTTCCTATACATGACGTCTGTAGTATATTGTAGAACTTTTTTAACATTTTATGTTGTCGTTATTAAATAATTTAAAAAAGCGAATTCTGAAAACGTATCCACCCCCAAAGTAGGAGTTTTCTGTTTTGAACGTCGAATTTGCGCTCAAACTCAGGATTTACAGATCTTTAAAAAGTTTAATATGTCCAAATGAATTCGAAAGAAGTTTTCCACAACACTGCATACTCAGTTCAACTACCTTACAAAGCTGGTCACTCCCTTTAAAGTTCTCCCTGCATGATCTGGGCCGGGCAGATTCACAACAATTAAATACTGACTTCTGTTCATTCATATTTCTGGACTTCGAACACAGGTTTAATGTCTAACCCTATTCCTGCGGGGGGGGGCAATTTGACCCCCCCCCCCGTAGTGTTTTTTTTACATAACTCAAAAAGTATTGGTCTGAGGCTGTTGAAATTTCCTGACTTCTCTTACATTCCCAAAGCCCTCCCTTTAGGCTTAAAACCGGGCTTTAATACTAACTGCCTGAGTCCTCAGGCACACTGCCTGAATGACTGCTTTTTCATGTAACAAACTAAATCTTTGTTTTGACCCCTTTCCACTTGTCAGATTTTGATAAAATTTAGCTTTTTGGAAAGCCTTTGACATAAAGAAACGAATTGCACAAGTGTTGCGAAAAAATTGCAAATTTTTGGCAAAAAACCTGTCAAAGGAAATTTACACATTTTTAATAAAACTCTTTTTTTCGCCATTCAATGTTTCAATATTTAATTTCGATATACCAATTTTGGGTAGAAATAATGTCACAAAACTCTTGAACACATTTTTTAAGGATTTTTATCGAAGATTTTTTTTGTAATAAATTTTAAAATATGCATGTTTGTCTTTCCTTATGTTTAAAATCCTTGATTTATTCTAGTTTACCCAGTTAGCAATACTCTAGCTTAGATGAAATCATGAAATCATTTGTAACCGATAAAATATTTTATCTTTGAGATCATGGGTGGCCTGAAATTGTATTAGGGGGGGGGGGATATAACAGAGATCATGCATAAAGGAACTAATTTCTTGGCACCACAAACTCAAATTTTCTAATCCCTATATCTTTGCATTCTGTTGGTTTAAATCTTTGATATTTCACACTAGTACTTATTGATCGTACACAAATCATAGCTTCTATCATCAGGTTGAAAAAATATAAGGATTAGAAAATCAGAGTTCGTGGCAAAAACTCAATTCCTTTTCAACACCGAGATGACTTTTATTTTCAGTCGTAACTGCACGTTGCTTTTGTTTTCATCTTGGAAACTCATTAACGCCTTTTCTAAGTATATTTTGAAACTTTAATGTGCTAGTTGTCAGCTTCTCTAAAATAGAAGCAGTTGGTGAATTCCTAAACGTTTTTTTTTCGTAAAACCGTTTAAATTTTAATTTATTAATTAATCAATTGGAAATAATTTTAGTGACGTGATATGTATTTTATACAAGATTACTACATTCATACACCATTACTAACATGACTTTCTGACCTCGTCACTCCTTTAGATTTTAATTTACACAAGTATAAGATTGAGCTAATTTATTTAATAAAATAAATGTAAATTTAAAACATTTCTCTTTCCTAAGAAGAGATATGATGTTTCAACTTTATTACAGGATACAGGGGGAACCAGAAATTTTAGTATTATAAATTATATATTGACACCCTGTACACGTATAACATAGAACTATACATTCAAAATCTAGTATTATAATTTCATTATTTTTCTACAACCTGATGGTGGTTTTACAACAGTATGCAATCAAAATATAAACAAACAAATTAAAAGGAAACCATACGGTTATTATCTTCAGTCATCACTATTTCAAAATCGGAATTTATTTACAAAAAAATAGTGTGGTCGCACATGGGACACTCTGAAATTAGAATATCCTGATTCTTGATTCACTCTGTATACACAAATAAATAATTTATAAACCCTGTATATTTATGAATATAAATTAGCCTGGTTCAAAATATCCACAAATATTTAAATTCTTCCACTTTACATCCTAATATTTCAAAATCCAGGGATTATAGTTTCAGTAGAAGTAAATATTTCCATTTACTGATAGCGCCGATTAAAGGATATCTATACTATTTCTATTGGTTCAGATTAGACAACAAACACATGACTGAACCCTGATTGGATCAGGCACTAATGGAATCGGCATACAGGAGTGACTATATAGAAACCACTAACAATGCGAAAGATTTCCTTGTTTTTATGTTTTAAAAAGTTTTAAATTTTAAAAATGTCCTTTCTTGTTTTAGAAGCATAAATAATTAAGTCACTAGACCACTCTAAAACTTATGTAAAATCCTCGACTTAAAAGTGTCGCAACACCTTGTCCTATGGTT